TCCCCACTAGGGGGCCCCCCTCTAGTAGGGGGCCCCCCCCTAGGGGGACCCCTTAGAGGGCAAGGAGAAGGGCCCCCTGTTCATGGAGATGAGCAGTCTCCTGTCTCCTCTTCAGTGTGCAGCTCGCAGCAGCAAGGGACTGCTTCGGGGTCCCTCTTCTCCCCACCTTTGGGGGCCCCAGGGGCCCTTGGAGGGGGGGCCCCCCTAACACCTGGGGGCCCCTCTCTTCTCTTTGGGCAGCAGCAGGGGGCCCCCTGTTCCCTCCCACCTTCTCAGCAGCCAGCGCTCGCTGTACACCTCATTAAAGGAGCAGCAGATGCAATTCGCTGGATACTGCAGCGTAGACGCACAGGGGGTGTTGGGGGGGGGCCCCCATTGGGGGCCCCCTCAGGGGGGCCCCCATCGGGGGGTGGGGCCCCCTTTCAGTACAGCTGGGGCATGGGGGCCCCCTTGATAGGGGGCCCCTACCAGCAGCAGCAGCAGCAACAACAACAACAGCAGCAGCAGCAGCAGCAAATGCAAGGAGAGGCCCCAGAAGGACTAAGGAAGGCCTTCTCAACAGGAGACAGCTGGAGACAGGTAGAGAGGCAGGCGTACCCCCATTCTGCGGGGGCTGTCCCCACTGCAGCAGCAACAGCAGCAGCTGCTGCTGCTGCAGCTGCTGCTGATGATGCAGCAGCAGCAGGAGATCCTGAATCCTGTGGGGGCCCCCAAGGGGCCCCCACCTCTCAAAGGAGGAGACGGGTAGGGAGGGGCCCCTTGGGTGGCCGCTCACAATCGGGGCCCTGAGGGCCCCGAAGGAGACAGTATATGTTAATTGTTTTATTTATTATTTTATTTATTTCTTCTTTATACCGCTTGTTGTTTTGTTTATACTTTTAAACTTATTTTTGTTTATTTTTTCCTTCATTGTTGCATTCGCTTTTATTAAAGACGTCTTGGAGACAGGAGACAGACAAAGGAGACAGATAAAGGAGACAGTTATAGAGTTATGTTCTTTTGCTTTCTACTGCTTGTCTTGTTGCTGTCTGCTGGAGCCTAGCCTCGAACTCTTTAATAAAAAAGGGTTTAGGGTTTAGGGTTTAGCTGCCCGCACTTCGAAGGTAATTAGAGTTTAGGGTTTAGAGTGTAGGGTTTAGGGTTTAGGGTTTAGCTTGTCTCCACGGGGGCCCCTCAAAGCCCCTACTGGGGGCCCCTGCTGCTCGTTCTCCTTCCTGTATTGAAGAAGCAAACAAAAGAGACAATAGATAAAAGAGACACCAAATAAAGGAGACAATAAACAACAGAGACAATCAGACAAAAGAAAGTATGATAAATAACAAGAGAGGCACTGAAGAAGAGACAGTATAAAAACAAAGAAATAATATAAAGACGAGAGATAATATAAAGACGAGAGACAACATAGAAGAGAAACATTAAAAAAACATATAATAATAAAACAATTTACATATACTGTCTAAAATAATAAATAAGACAATTAACATATACTGCGAAGAAAGGAGACAATCAATTTAAAAAAGGAGACAGTAAAAAGAGACAAAAAAGGAGACAGTCGGATTGCATCATAAGACCCCAAAAAAAATTATAATTCTGGGGGCCCCCACTACAGAAAAAAGATATGAATAATGCAATTAGGGGGCCCCTACCATTTAGGGGGCCCCTACCCATTAGGGGGCCCCTACCATTTAGGGGGCCCCTATCCATTAGGGGCCCCCAACAATTAGGGGGCCCCTATCCATTAGGGGCCCCCAACAATTAGGGGGCCCCTACCCATTAGGGGGCCCTAAGAATTAGGGGGCCCCTAACAATATGGGGGCCCCTAAGGATTTGGGGGCCCCTACCCTTTTGGGGGCCCCTACCCTTTTGGGGGCCCCTACCCTTTTGGGGGCCCCCCTAAGGATTAGGGGGCCCCTACTGCGGAAAGAAAAGTCATTTAATTATTATTTTTTTAATAATACTCCTTATGGATGCGGTGTTTGTTAGTTGATAGATGTACACCATATATATATATATATATATATATATTATATATATATATACATAAACATATATATACATTTATATATATAAACATTTAAACATATATATATATATATATATACATATATACATTTATATATGCAAACACACATATATATAAGCAACTATATATATATAAACAACTATATATATATAAACATATATATATAAACATATATATAATATATATATAATATATATATATATATATATAAAGATAGATTAAGTATGGGTTTGATTGACATAGTTGGTGTGCTGGGTGTTGGGGTGTGTATAGGCAGCAGCAGTTAGAGCAAGCTGAAGGAGACGATTAAAATGAATGCTGCTGAGGTCCTGAGGAGACAGCTGGTTGTTGTTTCGAGTGTCTCCTTCCCTCGATTGTTTATCAAGAAGCAGCACATGCTGCAGCAGATGGTTTGCTGCTGCTTCTCCTGCTTCAGCAGCATAAGCTGACTCCCACTGCAGCAGAGACAGCAGACGAGGCCCTTGTAGCTGTCTCCTCATCCACTGCAGCAGCTGCGCAGCAAGCTCACCGATAAAGCAATTGTCTCCTTTTAAGTTAAGCCTTTCTGTCTCCTCCTGCAGCACCTGCAGCAGAGCTGTCTCTTCTGCTGTACGTCTATGAAGGTCTTTAGTTAGCAGCAATGCTTGTACACCCCTATCACCTAAGAAAAAGCTAAGCCGTCTGATGCCTCTACTTAAAACCCTTAAGGGTTTGATACACTCATGGGTTTTAAAATATTCTGCTGCTTTTTGTACACCAACTTCAGCTGCTGTCTTGCCTGTCTCCTCAGCAGCAACTGGTAGAGACAATCCCCCTCGCCTCCCGCTGCTGCTGCTGCTGCTGCTGCTGCTGCTGCTGCTGCTGCTGCTGTTTGCTGCTATAGCCGACTGCATTGCATTTACAGCTTCTTCTCTCATGCATTGGAGTGCAGAGACAAACAAACAAGACAGCAGCACTTGGGTAGCAACAGCAACAGCAACATCACTGACAGCATTTGTTGCTGCTGGTGCAGCAGCAGGAAATCTTGTTGCTGAAGCTTCGAACCCCCATTCTAGCTGCTGCTGCAGCTGCCGCTGCTGCTGCTGCTCCTGCTGCCTGCGAGCATCTATACTATCGGTTAGCATATATAATAGGCCTCTAACAGATGATGGTACTAACGAGAATTGCGTTTTAATTAATAAGCTTACAAACAACTTCAATGGAGCTTCTAGCAACAAATCTTCTCCCTCATCGTCCCCCAACCCCTGCTGCTGCTGCTGCTGCTGCTGCTGCTGCTGCTGCTGCTGCTGCTGCTGCTGCTTTTGCTGCTGTTGAGCAGCAATAGCACGACTGAGAACAGCTAATGGGGGCCCTAATATAGTAAAGAACCACCTGCGATCTTCTAAACGAAGTAGAGGCCGAGGGAGGCAGAAAAAAGAGTTAAAGAGACAGCCGACCAGTGAGGAGACAGACAAAAATAGAGACTCCGGCAGATGACCCACGCACTCCAACTCAAACTGAACAACAAACAAAATAATAAATCTGTCTTATTTATTTTACTTTTATTTTTATTTTCTTTTAAATACCTTAAATACATTAATCCTAATAAAGTAAATAAACAGTAAATTAAATTAAATTAAATTAATTAAATTAAAATAAATTAAATTGAACACAAACAAAATAAGAAGTAAAAATAAAGTGGATGATGGTAAGGAGAGACAAACAAATAAACAAATAAATATAAATAAATAAATAAATGTAAATAAATAAATAAATAAATAAATAAATAATTAAATAATTAAATAATTAAATAAGCAACATCGCGACCTCAGGGCAGAGAACGCCCGAACCGCCATATGTACCCCAGACTGCACAACAAACCCTAAACCCTAAACCCTAAACCCTAAACCCTAAACCCTAGTGCAGACCTCGAGGAGCTTCCTGATAAACCCTTCAACATCTCGCATGTACCAAGCAAGACGACAGGCCTCCCGCATGAGATCAGGCAGCTGCTGTCTGTCCGCAGCCTGCGCAGCAAACGCTAAGCCCTAAACCCTAAACCCTAGGCTGCATGGGTCTGCTGCTGTCTCTCACAGCCGAGTTCGTGAGGCTCCCGGTGAGCGGAAGCACAAGACTTTTGGATTGTCCTACTAGGGTTTATGAATGAGGGTTTAATAGAGTTTACTCGGTAGGGTTGATTAGGGTTTACTCGTTAGGGTTTATTAGGGTTTATGGATGAGGTTTAACTATTAGGGTTTATGAATGTGGCTTTACAGGGATGAAAAAGCATTAATAAATGAGGGTTAATTAGGGTTTACGAATTAGGGTTAATTAGGGTTTACGAATTAGAGTTAATTAGGGTTTATGAGGGTTTAGGGTTTACTTTGAGTATAACTAAGAGGGGCCTGAAGTTGAGGTCTGAGGCAATACTCCACAGTCTTTTAGCTGTCTCCTTGGGTAGAGTGTTGATTGGGTTTATTAAGAAGTTCTCTTCTGCTAAACCTTCATTTTGTCTCTCATTTGACGCTTTAATTGTTTTCTTTATTAATGCAGGGAGACCCTCCAAGTCCCTCTCCGCCATCACTATGTTCTCCCCTGCACACAAACCCTAAACCCTAAACCCTAAACCCTAAACCCTAAACCCTAAACATTGATCACTGGCGAAGGCAGCACATGCGGAAGTTTCAACAAACCCTAGCAGGCAGCAACATCGCATCAGATGCTGCAGCAGCAGTAGCAGCAGCAACAGCAGCAGCAACAGCAACGACAGCAATGACAGCATCAGCAACAACAACAGCAGCAACAACAACAGCAGCAACAACAAAAACAACAGCGCAGCAGCAACAACAGCAGCACCAGCATCAGCAGCAACATCAGCAGCAACAGCAGCATCAACAGCAACAGCAGCATCAACAGCATCAGCAGCAACAGCAACAGCAGCATCAACAGCAACAGCAGCATCAACAGCAACAGCAGCAACAGCATGAACAGGAGCATGAACAGCAGGAGCAGCAGCAGCAAGAGGCTCGCCTTCTGACTGCATATTATTCTGAATTGTATTGCTTGGTAGGTTGCGACAAGCAGAGTCATCGGGAAACAGAAGAAGACGCGAAAGAGAGGGGACACAAGGCCCAGGGGCCCCGTCGTCTGCTTGGCTTAGCAGCAAACCCCACTGAGATTCATTGTCTCCTTCTGCAGCACCAAACAATAGACACGACCTAGGGTTTAGGGTTTAGGGTTTAGGGTTTAGGGGTTTAAGAGATACGGCACTGGAGACCCATTTTATACTGCGCTCAGATGAAAAACAAAAAAAAATCACGGTCTCCTTCTGCAACAACAAATAACTACGAGGGTTTAGGGTTTAGATTTTAGGGTTTAGGGTTTAGGGGGGTGGTCAGGACTAGATTTATTTAGGGTGCGGGTATATACACTGATCAGGAGACAACAGATGCAGCAAAGGAGACAGGGAGACAGATAAAGAGACAGATAAAGAGACAGAGGGACAGATAGAGAGAGAGAGACGGATGAAGAAACAGAGAGACAGATAAAGAGACAGAGAGGCAGATAAAGAGACAGATAAAGAGACAGAGAGAGAGACAGATAAAGAGACAGACACAAAGAGAGACAGCTGCCTAATCCCCTCTCTCTTCAGACCTGATAAAGAGCTGCTGCTGTCTCCTTCTTCGTCTTCGTCTTCATCATTAGACATAAACTCTACTTCATTTTTATTGGATACACCTTTTACTTCTTTAATTTTCAACCGCCGCTTCCCCGTCTTCTCAACTCCTTTCAGAAACACCCGAAGCTGTACATACACCCCAAACACGCACCTAAACCCTAAACCCTAAACCCTAAACCCTAAACCCTAGTAGTAGAAACGCTGCCGCGCGCATGCGCTCGCGTCGCTCGCGCGTTCTGCCGCGAAGTCCTAGACCCCCCACCCCATAAATCCTAAACCCTAAACCCTAAACCCTAAACCCTAAACCCTAAACCCTAACCAGGTCATCATCTGCGACGCGCGGGGCAGTTAGTTCAGGAACAGAAAAGGGGGTATTGCAAACCCTAAACCCTCCGTCAAGAAAGAGCTTTTCTGTCGTCCAAGGGGGCAAAAACTCTCTCGAGGTTTCGATGCGAACGGGGCCCCCAAACAAATCCGCAGCCTGAGCACAAACCCTAAACCCTAAACCCTAAACCCTAAACCCTAAACCCTAAACCCTTGCAAAACCCTAATTAAATAAAGGAAGTTTTTTTGCACTCACCAACAAGTCGTGCCGATGTTGGTAGCTCAGATAATCTGAGGGACCCAAGGCCAGCCGCAAATGCGAGAAGAAAGCCTAAAACACCACAAACCCTAAACCCTAAACCCTAAACCCTAAACCCTAAACCCTATTCTCCTAACCCTAGACCACCCGCACGCATGCTAAACTCCGAACAAGACACGCCTGAATTCGAAGGAGACCCCTAACGCTTCTCAGTCCACCAGGACATGGGTTTTAGGGTTTAGGGTTTAGGGTTTAGGGTTTACTTCCATCCACTCAATGATGAGACACTCAGTTAGCAGCTCCCTCTTGAGAGCCTGAAGAAAGCCGACTTGTTTCTTCTTTATGATTTGCAGCTGGTCCATTAAAGCCCTGCAGAGCAGAAGCACCGGGCTAGGGTTTAGGGCTTAGGGTTTAGGGTTTAGGGCTTAGGGTTTAGGGTTTAGGGTTTAGGGTTTACTTGTTCGAGTCATCTATCTTCCGGTGTACAGACGCAAAGTTTGCATGCAGCCGAGCCAACAGCCGGTGGTTTTCTTGCAGATCTTTTATAATCTTCTCTCGCCTCAGATTCACAGCCTCTTCGCTCTAAACCACAAACCACAAACCCTAAACCCTAAACCCTAAACCCTGGCCACACGCAGAACCATCTCCATCCACTGCTTCAACCACCACTACGCCACGTCAATGTACGCGGCGAAGATGTGAAGCTGAGGGTTTACAGTTTAGAGATTATGGTTTAGGGTTTAGGGTTTAGGGTTTACTGGGGAGGTGCCTTGCATGCTCATCTTGTACGCGTCGAGTGTTGAAATGAGGGGATGCTCAGAAAAATCTGAAGAGAGCCGCAAACCCTAAACCCTAAACCCCAAACCCTAAACCCTAAACCCTAAACCATCACCCGTTGATCCATGCATGTGCCACTTGAGGAACCCTAAACCCCCAAATGTAAACCCTAGTAAGCTCTATACCCTAACCCTGAAACCCTAAACCCTAAACCCTAAACCCTAAACGGACCTGCTGCCGAGTGATGACCAATGAGAATGCAGTGCGGGCAGAGGGCGACGAAGCACTAAAACAGAACAAACCCTAAACCCTAAACCCTAAACCCTAAACCCTAAACCACATGGTGAGGAGTTAAAAGCAAAACTGCAGCACTACAAAAGAGACAGCGGAGTGCAATTAAGAGAAACAAAAAAAAATAAACAAAAGGAGACAAAAAAAGAGAAGACATCAAAATATACACAAATCAAATAACAGAGACAGACAAAAGGAGACAGAAATAAACAAAAAGAAGAAAGAGAGAGAGAGTCAGAGAGAGAGACAGAGATAAAGAGAAGGAGACAGAGACACCGAGATAGAGGGACAGAGATAGAGACAGAGACAGAGACAGAGACAGAGACAGAAGCAGAGACAGAGGCAGAGACAGAGACAGACATAGAGAGAGACAGAGACAGAGACAGAGACAGACAGACAAAAACAAATACAAAAAAAGAGACAGCAAAGGAGAGAAACAGCACAAAAATAAAACATAAAGGAGATAAAAGGAGACAGACAAAACAGAATAAAAAATAAGAGAGACAGCCAAACAGATTAACAAAACAAAATAAAAAACAAAAAAGGACAGAGAAGGAGACAAACAAAATAAATTAAAGATAAAAGAGACAGATAAAGAGACAGACAAAGTAAAATAAAGATAAAAGAGACAGACAAAGAGACAAACAAAATAAAAATAAAGATAAAAGAGATAAACCTACCACCATACAAACGCAGTCGAGCATTTCTGAAGGATGATTGGGGCACTGCCCAAATTGAAAAGGAGACTGCAAAAGGAGACAGCAAATAAAAGATATAAAGGGGACAGTAAATTAAAGATATAAAGGAGACAGCAAATAAAAGATATAAAGGAGACAGCAAATAAAAGATATAAAGGAGACAGCAAATAAGAGATAAAGGAGACAGCAAATTAAAGATATAAAGGAGACAGCAAATAAGAGATAAAGGAGACAGCAAATTAAAGATATAAAGGAGACAGTAAATAAAAGATATAAAGAAGACAGTAAATAAAGTATAAAGGAGACAGTAAATAAAAGATATAAAGAAGACAGTAAATAAAGTATAAAGGAGACAACCGAGAAAAAGGAGACAGCAAATAAAAGAAAAAAAGGAGACACTAAATAAAAGATAAAGGAGACAGTAAATAGGAGATAAAGGAGACAGTAAATAAGAGATAAAGGAGACAGCAAATTAAAGATAAAAGGAGACAGTAAATAAAATAGATAAAAGGAGTTGGCAGAGAGGAGACGGCAAAATGAAACAGCAAAAAAAAGAATAGGAGACAGCAAAAAAAGATATACAAGGAGACACCAAATGAGAGGCATATATATAAATATATATATATATATATAATGATAGGTGCATGCATATATATAATAATAATAGTAATAATAATAATAATAATATGCATGTGCTATAGGGAGTCTCCTGTGTCTCGTGAGAAGAGTAGAAGCAGAATGATGTCTCTTGTTTCAGCTTTCACAGAGAGTAACTATAAGTATAAGAATAAAATATAAATATAAATATAAATATAAATATAAATATAAATATAAATATAAATATACATGTGCAATAGGGAGTCTCCTGTGTCTCTTTAAAAGAGTAGAAGCAGAATGATGTCTCCTATCACAGCCTTCACAGAGATGTGCCTTATCTGCAGGGCAGAAGATTGAGGCTGCTAGCAGCCCGCATAAATCACAAGAAGGAAGAGAAACTTCTATTAGAAGAGGAGACAGACAAAACTCTAATATTGTGTTTCCTAAGACTTGGACGCTTTCTTTTATACGATACAGAGCTCGGAGCTGCCTGCATGCAGTTTATATTTACACACACACACACATATATATATATATATTTTTATTTTATTTACTTCCTATTTATCTTATATCATATAGGGTGTATATATATATATATATTCTTTAATATACTGTATAATATATTTTATTATTTATATGTTATATATTATATGTACATTACAAAATAATATAATATGCTGTATATATATATATATTACATATATATATATAGATTTACAGACATAATATAACTAAGTATTATATAAATAGTATAAAAAATATATATTTTATATTTTATATAAGTTAAAAAAATGATAGCTGGCAGACGAATGACAATACACAAAAACAAAACAATGCATAAAAAATAAAAAAAATAAAAATAAATAAATAACAAATAGTAAATAAATAATAAATGATAATTGACTATAATTAATAATTAATAATTAATAATTAATAATTACCAAGCAATAAACAATAAACATAAAGATGAAACATACAAAGAGAGAAGAAGAGGGGAGCTACCGCACAGAAAAGGTTAACCATCGACGCTGTGCGAGTCCGGCTACGCCTAGGGTTTAGGGTTTAGGGTTTAGGGTTTAGAACTTGCTTCGCTTCATTTGTTGCGGGTGAAGACAGCACATGCGCCAACGAAGAATAATTTGCTGGGATCTCTCGCTTTTCAAAGTCTCCTAAGCAAAGGCCCAATAAAACCGCAAACCCTAAACCCTAAACCCTAAACCCTAAACCCTAAACCCTAAACCGTCAAACCTTAAGACTGTGTACGAATCTAGCCTCCCCAATTTTTCAATTTTGCATACGCGCAGAAATCCCCCGACTCCCCTAAACCCTAAACCCTAAACCCTAAACCCTAAACCCTAAACCCTAAACCCTAAACCCTAAACATACCTTCGGCATCTTGATGTGCAAGAGTGCTTCCTGCAGCGATTTTGCAGACGAGCACTTTGAAAGCCCCAGCAGGAGAAGCAGCAAAACCCTTGGGGGCCTCGAGAGCACCGACAGGAAATATAATGTCTCTCCAGTTGCAACCAAATCGGTGTCCCTTAAGAACATCTTCAAAAGAAGGAGAGCCTGGGATCCGATCCCAGTCTAAAAATGAATATAACACGGGTCCACGCAGAGCCTGCAACACCCCACATACAAAGAAAACAAATACTATCAAACATTAATATATTTAAAAGATAAATAATAAAAGAAAGACAAGAAGAAGGACAGCGACAAACAAACAAACAAACAAACAAACAAAACAACAAACAAAACAAGCAAACAAATAAACGAACAAACAAAACAAAACAAAACAAACAAAACAAGCAAGCAAACAAACATACAAGACAGACAAAACAAACAAACAAACAAACTAACTAACTAACTAACTAACTAACATAAAAACAACAATAATAACAATAACAAGAAAAGCATGCTGAGTCCTAGGGGAAGGGATCGGGAGTCGAACGATCCCAACACAGCAGCAGAGCCTCCATTAGCGCTTGCACAGAGAAGACAATCAATTATGCTGCGCTCATTATGCTTGACCTCTGCCTGGTGCTGCTGCTGTCTGATGCTGTCTGCTGCTGCTGCTGCTGCTACTGCTGCTGCCTGATGCCCTTTGCTGCTGCTGCTGGTGCTGCTGCTGTATGATGCTGTTTGCTGCTGCTGCTGCTGCTGCATGCTGCTGTTTGCTTCTATGTGTTGCTACCTGATGCCGGTCGCTATTACCTGCAATGTGCCGCTGCTGCTTGATGCAGTTTTCTGCTGCTGCTGCTGTTTGCTGCTGCGATGTGTGTGAGAGGGTAGAGAAGAAAGAAGCAGTTAGCAACAAGAGACGAGTTATATTGAGTTATTATTTGTGCTGCTCACCCGAGCCTGAGCCTCAAATGCAATTTCTGTTGCACGGGAGTTAAGATTCCAGGCTCTAACGATGTGAAGGTCTGAAGTGCCGAAGGAGAGCTTCAGCCACTGCTCCCAGCAAGAAAGTATGTTTATATCGTTAATTTGAGTTACTTCCAATGGTGGAGGCTCGTCTAGGGCCCTTAAATCCATTTTAAACAAACAAATGCATTAAAATAAACTCAAAAACGGAAAAAAACGAACATATTTTAATCAGTAGAAGACAACATACACCAACACCACTGGTGTGTATAGACAGCTCCAGTGCCCCCCAGTCAGAAGAGAAGGAAGAAAAGCATTGAAGGCGACAGTCTTAATTTAATTATCATAAAGAATTTAATTTAAATCAAATATATTTATTCTATTTTGCAAAGAAAACACAAAAAACAAAACATAAGAACGAGTACAACCGCACAAACCCACAGCGGTTAAGACGAAAGTATGCTCAAAATATATTGAGAATGGCGGCAAAAAACATAGAAAAAAGAACTCAAAAACATTAATTAATTCAATTTAATTCATTTAATATGCTTAAATAATTTATATTGTTTATACGGAAGAAGTTTAATTAATGCATGCCTCGCATGCGAGGCCGGTGGCGCGATCCACGGTGTATGTACAGCGAATTATTTTATGTTTATGAGAAAAACACTTAAATAAACGAATTAATTGAGAAGAAAACAAACAAATTTAAACAATTTATTCCTAAATTACTCATTATACACCCTTCTTCAATACAAACCATTTAAATGTACAGCAGTATTGAGAGGGATCGGCAGTGGTTCTGTTGCTGCAAGCTGTGCATGCATGAAGAGATGAATGTCTTTGATATATTTTAATTTTATTTGTTTTAACTCTAATAATACATTAAACAGAACTCATAACGAATTACTCATAGGCTGCTACGGGTTCCTTATCTAGAGAGCCCTGCACATCTATTATATTATCTTTATATTTTATATTATCTTTATTTTGCTTTAACTTTCATAGCTCGCCTCCTCAGCTCCTCCTTCGCTTTCTCCTAACATTTACAGCTGAGAGTAGGGCTGTACAGCAACTGAGAGTTTAGGGTTTAGGGTTTAGGGTTTAGGGTTTGGGTGTCTACAGCAAGCGCTCGTCCCCCCCGCTTACTCTAACTGCATGCTGCAATCGAACCGCATATATATTTATGTGTTTAAATGTCTCTCTGCTTTTGTTTAGGGTTTAGGGTTTAGGGTTTTGTAAATAAACCCTTTCTTTTTCTGTGGCTTTACCTGTGTGCTACTCGCCTACGCCGACCTCCCTATACACTGCATTGTTCAGTTATATTAATGCATTTGTTTATTGATAGAAGTATATAAAGCTAAGCAAATAAGTCTCTTTATATACAAATGTACACAACTTCATAAAGATTCAGGAAGAAAGACAAGAAGACAATCTTTAGCGTTGTCTTGTTCATTGAAATGCAGTTGGGGTGTATATGCATACACCCCAGCGCATTTAATATGTTTCTAATAGAGTTTCTCTGCTGCAGGCCTCTGCTTCAATCTCACTTGCATGCAAAGACGAGATAAAAGCATAAATAGATAATACTGTACACTCTGTACTGCTCAGCAAAAACCTCAAAAAACACAGCTGCCTATACACTGCAGACGCGAGCACCTGTGGTGTATATATGCACATATATACATATATACAGGTATTATATATATACAATACATATAATAGAATATTCACATTATATATACACATATATATGTATATATATATTATATTTACTTATTTATATGTAGACGCTTGAAGAGGTGTACACAAGCGGAGAAGAAATAAACCCTAAACCTGTGAGGCTAATGAATGCATGCATTGCATTGCTTGCATGCATGCATTTGCTGTCTGTGGATGCAGCAGAGTGTTTTTTTTATTCATCGCTAGAGTAGTTTTTGCTGCGCTCTCCATGAAGGGTAGATGCGGAGGAGTTTATAGTTCTAACTGGCTTATTAAAAGTATCTGAGACTGACTTCTCTTCATCATTGCTATCATCGCTACTAACAGATTCCATCATTAGCCCCTCTACCATTCTTCTTTTAAGCTGAGCGACTCTAGGTCTTTCTTGTTCAGTTGCAGCAGTTTGTCTGGGGCTTGCTATACGTTTAATATCTGATAAGTCTTGTATTTTACTTTTATTAAGAGCATCTCCAGCTCTACTACCTCTGGTGCTGTGTCTTGAGCTGCTGCGTTTGCGTCTCCCTGCATGCTTTCCGTCTGTCTCTGCTTCTTCGTCTCTGAGCTTCTTCTCAAAGTATGCTTCTGCTGCAGGGAGGTCTGGAGACTTCTCGAGATACTCCCGAAGCCTCTCAATGAATTCATACAGACCATTGGACCACAGGTTTCTGTCACGATCTACTCGCCTAAAGAACAAATCATGAACGCCTTGATAATTGTGATAGCGGACATAAAATGTATTGCGGTCGTACTTGTCAGGAAGCACCAAACTTATTGCTAAAAATGAATATCCCCCCTTCTTCTTCTCCCCAGCCTGCATACAGTAACAAATATATGCATTGCTAATGCATTCAAAAACAAATAACGCAATCCTCTCGTCTTCAGGTCTCACGCCGCTACCGAGTGCTGCTTGCAGCTACTAGAGAAGGTAAACAAACAAAACCTATTAAATGTATTACTCGCCCAAGTAGACGGCAATACCTTCGCTGGTGATTCGAGAGAAATAGGAAAAGAAAACAAACAGAACCATTTAAACGCAAGATGCGCTCGTGCAGAAGGAAGAAATTGACAGTCGCAGCAAATATGTTTTTCTTGCAATGTTTGTTGAGAGTTTCTGTTTGTTTAAGATAGAAAGATGAAGCAGCATACTCACCAAGCATTCTTCTTTTGAATTCCAGTACTGCCATTCCCATTTACCGCTGCGTCTTTCTGTAGCTTTAAAATAAAGAGGAATCCACGACCCGCCTACAGAACTCATGAGTTTAAGAGGTCCTTCTAAGACTTTACTGAAGAAACGAAGTCTTTGAAGATCACTCATATTATTAATGTCTATTTTTAAAGGCTCTCCACGGCTTTCCGCTTCATATTGTGCATGCAAAAGCGCTTGATGAATCAAAGGCGACATCTGGTACTCCCCGAGATTCACATGTGAGGTGTCTAGACGGTGGAAAGAAAGCTGAAAAATCAGAACGCAAAATGCCTTAACAACGCATTATTTGAAGATTTTATTCAATAAATTCAATTATATTTTAAATTATTCGTTCAAAAATATCTTTTTTTCAAAGGTTTCCGCAGTTATTCTTCTGCTTTCCCTTCGTTTTCAACATGAATGCAAGATCGTGAAACTTGAATCTGCATTCAGAACTCACGACAACTTTGCAGGAAACTTTTCCTTCACTCATCATGGCGTAGCTTTGCCTCTTTGGAAATCCAACATCAATTAAGTCGGACTTCACTTTTATGCTGCATTCCCCGATTGCTTCTGTACCCACTACTCCGTGCCTCAGCACGCGTACATAAATCACCCGTTCGCATTGCCGCACGTGTAGAGTCAGCCGTTCCTGAAGCCTCAAAGAGCACCCGCAACTCCTTTCACATCAACAAGCAAAGCCCCATCTCCCCACAGAACCCTACGCAAACGAAGTTTATTATTAAGCCATCTACTGACAGAATAATAGTACAGCAGCAAGCGTAAATCATACTGCACAATCTCCCTAACAACTAGTATCTTGAACCCCACATCAAAGACCTCTATCATCAATGCATTTGTTGTTTGAATTCGCCCAAACCCCTTCCCTTCGTTCTAAAAGTCCAAGTGCATGCACGCATGCATAATCCATCGGCATGCATGCATGCATACACCTGCATGCATGCATGCATACATGCATGCATATGGGCGCGTACCTGTATTTCAACGCGAGTTTTGATGGCTTCTCCCTGTGATGTCCTGGCGAAGAAGCGGCCTGCTTGGAGTTCGACAGAGAACTGCCCGTTCCCCTGTATATTTAGAATATCATGTACTTCAACGAGCATATCAAACTTATCGTGATCATGGCAGCCGAGTCTTCGCATGCAAATACCAATGAGGCTGCATTCAGACGGATGAGGAATTGACTGACGATTGCGGTAAGCACAAAAACTACCAACGCCGCATGCACATGTTGCAGCACAACAAGCAATTGCTGCAGGATCAGGGAAGAACATCTTCGTTCAGGTGTCTTGACAGCAGACAACAGCAACAACAACAGCAATAACAATAACAATAAGAATCACAGCAACAAGAACAACTATCTTCAGTGCTGCTTGCTGCGTAAGTCAGGCAGCCGATACTGATGGCCGCCAAAACAAAACTGCAGCAACGCAGGAGTTAAGACTGAGACCATCAGCGCAGAAGAGATGCAGCAATGCCCTTCACTTAACTTCTTTTCTTAAAAACACAAACAAGTAATGCAGCAGCAAGCTTCTCCCTGCGCTCTATGCAGCTAGAAACTCAACAGGAAGCAGCTACGCTGCTGAAGTAAACGATAACAGGAGAGGAGAGGCTTGCGTGCGGTGTATCTTCATCTACATTCCCTTTCTGTCTCATAGGATAATGCATCATCTGGTGTATAGCTGCTGCAGCAGCAGAACCAGCCGGTGGGCCGGCCCAGCCCTGAAGCAGCTGCGAGGAAATAGAGAGAAGGCGACTGCTGCAGCTGTGCCTTCGCAACTGTCTATATTAGGGTTAAAGAGAAGAAAGCTGAAAGAAAAGAACTTAAAGGCGGCGGTAGCAACACTGTGAAAGATATGCAGCAGTGTTTCTCGCCCGCAGCCCCACGGCGGTCTGCTGAAAGATAAACGGCTTCTTTTTCCTCTTATTACAACATTTAATGGAAATAATACGGGTTTATAATTAAAAGGACAAGAAAAAACAAGAAAAGGAAGCAAAAGAGTACAGCTCTACTCCTTACTATCGACGGGCGCTCTAGAAAAGCCTCACCGACTAAACATCGACAGGCGGCTGCTGCTGATCTCTCTTTCTTTCCGTTCATACACTTTAATAATTATAAAAAAATAAAGTTTATAATTAATTAATTTAATTTTTTATCCTTTTTCCTTGCAAAACTCCTTTATTTAGTCGCTTCCCTCTACTTCAACGGCTCGCGCCCGGTGGTCCAGGCACCGCCGGCAGCCGATCGTGTGCAGCATCTCAGCTGTACGTACACCTCAAAATTTCTTTTAATATAAACTCAGTATTCTACATGTAAATTTGCTTTACTTTCAGAACAATGCAGGTCTGGGAGCTCCTTGCATGTCTGCACACCCGTTCATCATGCAGCTGCTGCAGCAAACTACCTGCTGTAGTCAATCTGCTGCTGCTGCTGCTGCTGCTGCTGTTGCTGCTGCTGCTACGTCTCCAAAGGGATATCTTCACAAACCTCGGAAGAAAGATATCTGGTTTCTCTGATGAGCTTGTAACAAAACAATTGCTGCTGTGGGAGCCTTCATTAAACAGCTCTCTAGGCCTTAATAAATATTCATTTTACATACAGCTACGCCGAAGTCTAGACGATGCATTTGTTGTCCTCTTTTAAGGTGTATTGTCGGTAAGAGATGTAAGTGTTAAGCCCCACTGCAGCAGCGTGTAAATAGCGTTAAATCTGCTGCTGAGAGACTTCTTTAGAGAACCGCAACAAAAGAACCTCAAGAACAGCTGGGGTGTATATATAGACATACAGGCGGAAGAAGCAGCAAACATCTGCTGTCTATCTGCTTCCTCTCGCTCTTTCTTTTCTGCTGCAACGAAATCCCTTAAACTGTCTTCGCAGGTGTTAGCTCATGCTGCTGTCTGTAGCTGCTGTTATACTTAATGCCTGCTGCTGCAGCGTAGCAGCAACAACCCTATAAAGGTGCTGAGCTTATCTCTCAAATTGCTGCTGCTGCTGCAGCTGCTGCAGCTGCTGCAGCTGTTGCAGTTGCTGCAGCTACACTGGAGTGCTTCTGGCAGTGCCCTTCACTTTCTTTGCTGCTTTGTCTTCTCAACTGTATCTGCTGTCTGTGTCTCTTCAAGCTTATCTCTCTTTAGCAAACTGCAGGGGGCAGCGCTTTGTCTCCTTTAGTTGCAGAAGCATACATTGAAGAGACACTGCGCTGTTGAGATGGCCGCTGGCTGGCTACAGTTAGCCAACTAGCTAGCTAGCCAACTGCCTAGCTAGCTAACTGCCTAGGTAGCTAGCTAGCTAGCTAGCTATCCATACAGTTAGCTATATAGATAGCTAGATAGGTAGCCGCAGCTACCAGCCACTTAAAAGCCCCCATCCCTGTTCTCTTTTGTTTGTAGGCAGCCGCATGCTGTATGGTGAAGCGAAAGACAAAAAGCAAAGTTGAAGAGACACCTCAGAGGGTACTGCGTATTTACCTGTCTCCTTCTGTAGGCAAGAGAAGGCCCCTACAGAGAAAGAAGAAGGAAGAGATGTCCCCTTTGTCTGAAGAAAGAAATATATTTAGTTTACGCTTTGTATTTGAGAGCCTAATAAATGGTTGCTCTGAGGTGTCTGTACACCGCACGGTCGGCCGTAGGGGTTTTGTGTATGCTGCTGCATTGTTGCATATACTGCAGCATTATTTGTTGAAATAATTAAATAATTTAAGTTATTTATTTATATTAGATTGTTATTTAATTAATTTAAAAAAATTTAATGATTATTTACTTCCCTTTCTCTTCACCGTTGGTGGTCTTGGGGTGTCTCGGCAGTGTCTGCACACCGGTTAACAAGCAATTTGTTTCTTCTGCATACATCTTCCTTGAATATTTTCTTGATAATATCAAGTAAACAAAAGAAATTATTATTTTTTAATTGAGAATAAAGTTTTATAGACGCAGCAGATAGACAAATATCTTGAGATAGAGAAGACCGCTGTCCCGCCTGTACATACCCCCCCACCTGTCTGTCGCTCTGGCTGAGGGGCCTCTTGGTTTGTTATATTATTTTTCGCGCATTATTAATCGTTTAATATAATTATGTGTTTGATTTAAGCGTATTAAAGGGGTATTTCAATTAAAAAACTAAACAGTGTAAGGGGAGAGAGAGCCCCCAGAGGCTCGCGTACACCGCACCGGTCTTTATAGCCTATAAAACTGCTTTTGTTTGCTGTTTCTTCCGTTTGAACTTTCTTCTTTTTCTCGTTTAAAGACATTTAAATAAAGAAATTTACATCGAACCCCTTCTGTTTTAATCTCAATATGGGGAGGCGGTGGCTGTCCTTTGTTGTAGGCGCCGCCTTAGCTGGCGCCCTGCTGCAGCCAGCAGCAGAAGCAGCAGCAGAAGCAGCAGAACAGCAGCAGCAGCTGCAGGAGCAGCAGGAAGAAGCCAATGCTGTCGATATCACTGCCTCTACATCTGTCGACGAAGATGATGTAGAAGCCCTTCCTCCTCTAGAAGTCTCTTCCGAGGAGATAGAGCACTCAGTGCACCATCAGCAGCAGCACAAAGCAGAGGAGCAGCTGCAGGAGCAGCAGCAGCAAGAACAGCAGCAGCAGGAAGATCAGCAGCAACAGCAGGATCAGCAGCAGCAGCAGGATCAGCAGCAGGATCAGCAGCAGGAGCAGCAGCAAGAGCAGCAGCAAGAGCAGCAGGAGAATGAAGAAGAGATGCTGCTTGGGGCTTTACGAATGGATACGCTTCTGCGATACATGACAGATATGCAGAGACGCTTTCTTTTAGCTGTACTACCTGATTCCTGGGCAGTACCTAAGTTTATCCCTTCAGCAAGCTCTGAATTAGAACAAGTACAGCGCTTCTTAAAAGATTTAACAGCAAGAGCAGGGGCCCCTAACCCTTCTGCTGTTTTAATTGAATTAGCAGAGACAGGAAAGCTGTCTTTGTTGCTGCAACAAAACCCTAATCTACCTGCAGCACTTAGAGATCTTATTGCTGCATGTGTGGGGCCCCTCAGAGGCCCTTTCTCTGTCTCTCTTCCTTCATTAGATTTTATTGATCTAAATGCTGTCACGCAATTATTTAAACTACCAACCGAGTTTGAATATCCGGTGTCTCCTGAGGGTTTGTCTTTGTTTATCCCTGTGGTAGTAAAGAGACAAGCAGCAGCAGCAGCAACAGCAGCAGCAGCAGCAGCAGATGAAGGACCAAAGACAGGAGACAGCAGTCTCCTTGCTAATATCACAGATATCTATATCCCCGTTGTCTCTCATCAAGGAGACATTCTTTTTGCTGATGCATTTACAATTCTTAAAGGCGTTCATCTACCTGCTAGACTTCCTCTTCAACCCCTCGCCACCTTCTCTGCCTATCAGGTACTACAAACCCTAAACCCTAAACCCTAAACCCTAAACCCTAGACTTTACTATTGTGCCTTTAAACCCTAAACACTAAACCCTAAACCTTAAACCGTAAAGTTTATTATTATGCCTTTAAACCCTAAACACTAAACACTAAACCTTAAACCCTAAACAAGACCTTAACCTTAAACCCTAAACCCTAAACCCTAGCAAGCAGGCCCCCAGTTAGATAGATATTAAAAGGAGACAGCAGGATGGGGCGTCCGCGTAGGGGAGGTTAAATAAAATAGCAGGAGGAGACAGGAGGAGACAAAAGGAGACAGTTAGTTGCTGCTGTCTCTTTAGAGACCACCCGATTAATCTACAGTCTCTTCCTTCTCCTCTCACAGCCTCAACTTTAATCAAACATAATACCTCAATAAATGCATGCATGCATAAATAAAATATACAAATGCTCAGGGAAGAAACAAAAGAAAAGAAAGGAAGAGGCGAGGCCAGGGCTGTGGAGGAGACAGTTATTATTAATGCTTGTTCGTAGTAGATGCATGCATACACCTGCATGCATGCATTGTTATTAGAGTTGTTTGTTTATTTGTTTCTTTACTTAGATCGAAGACACTTCAGGGCTGTGGGCAGCAGTAAAGGGCCCCGTACTTAGTCGGCTGTCTGTGCTAGGGTATGAAGCAGAGTCTCTCTTCGGCCCGGTGCTGAGCTTAGTGTCTCTTCCTCGCATTGCCCTGTCTCTAAATGGAGAGACAGCAGCAGCAAACGCTCAGCAGCAGCAGCAGCAGGATCAGCAGCAGCAGGAGCAGCAGCAGCAGAAGGAGCAGCAGAAGCAGCAGGAGAGCTCTCTGTCTAAGATAGTTTCTACTGTCTCTTCACAACTTAAACAGTCTCTAAAGAGTCTCCCTGAGATTGTCTCCAAAGAGACACATACACCCCACACCCCAATCTTTGCTGCAGAGACACCTGAAGACTTCCTTAACCTCAAGTTCCTCAACTTCACTCTCCCTATTGTCGGTAAGATAAAACAAAAGACAGACAGAGACAGAGAAGGAGACAGAAGGAGACAGACAGAGACAGAGACAGGGACAGAGACAGAACCAAAGCCGTCTGTCTCTGTGTTTACCTCGCTGTTGCTTATATCTCTATATTTATATCTTTATCATTTCTGTCTATAAATTATACATATATTATACATGAATATATATATATATATATATATATATATATATATATAACTATATATATATTATATGCAGATGCGTCTCTCTCTGTCTCTATTACTGTCTCTTAGCGAGTGTGTCTGAGCATACCCTTATTGAAAATTTATTATTGTTTGTTTACCTCTTTGTTATATGTCTCTGTCTGTTGTAGGGGTCCCCCGCGAGCTGGCACCGGGTGTCTTTACACCTCTGAAGTTCTTTAGTCAGTGCAGCAGCAACGACTGCCCGCTTGGGCTGTCTCTTCCTTCCTTCCCCACGTTTCTAGTGTCTCCTGAAGCAGCTGTCTCTAAACTGCAGCAGCGCGTAGAGGTGCTTTCAGCAGACCTCCAACAAGCAGTTGAAACCCTTAAACAAAAAATTAACTCTTCTTTACCTCAAGGACTTGCAACCGCTGCAGACCCTCAAGGTAAACACTACCCTCTATGCTCTATGGCCTAGGGTTTAGGGTTTAGGGTTTAGGGTTTAGGGTTTAGGGTTTACCAGGAGGGCTCAGCAGTATGCAGCATACCCTGGTGTTTGACACCGCTTCTCAAACTCCTCACCTTTGAACTTTACTTGCTTCTACTACTGCTGCTGCTACTGTATTGCTGCTGCTGCTATTGCTGCTGCTGTTGCTGCTGCTGCTGCAGGTGTGTCGGTGGATGAGGCGCTGAACGCTGCTTTGAATCTGTCAAGCACTCTGCAGCAGGCTGTGAATATAGCAGGAGACAGAGTGCAGAGACTCTTTGGCTTAGACTCCCCAGCAGCAGCAGCAGCACCTGGTGAAGGAGAATCAGCAACAGCAGCAGCAACAGCAGCAGCAACAGCAGCAGATATAAGAACTGAAGAAAATGCAGCAACAGGGATATTAGCTTCTTTATATAGACACAAACCACATGAAGAAGATGCAGGCTTATTAGCCCCAAGAAGGAGACTCCAGGTGTATATACACCTCAACTAACTAGCCCCTCAAAACCCTGCTGCAGCTGCGCATACACCTCAACCCCCTATCCCCTAAACCCTTAACTGGAAACCACTCGCATGCAAACCCTAAACCCTAATTAGAACGCTCTCAAATCTAAACCCTAAACCCTGAACATTATTATCCCTTCATTCTTACTTCTAATCTCCCTGGGCTCTAGACCCTTCAGTCTAAACCCTAGACTCTAAACCCTAAACCCTCGATTATACCCCTTGCACTGTAAACCCTCCACCCACTCCTGTAAACCCCTAAAACCCTAAACCCTAAACCCTAAACCCCTAAAACCCCTACAGCCTAAACCCTAAACCCAAAACCATAAACCCTAAACCCTAAAACCCTAAACCCTAAACCCTAAACCCTAAAACCCTAAAACCCTAAACCCTAAACCTTAAGCCGTTTGTATATGTGTGTTAGGGTGGATTGATTGATTTGCCGCTGCTACGCGGGCCGTTTAATTTGTCTGGGTTTGAGTTGGGGGGGAGAGGGAGCATTGAGGATTTATTATCTCTTAAAACCCTCGCTGGTGCAGTAGAAGGTTTAGTGCTTCCTGAAGGAGAGCTGCTGCAGCAGCTGTCTCCTGAGCTGCGAGAGAAGAGCTTAGGGTCTCTCTTTGCTGCGCAGCAGCTACCACAGACTCTGCTGCAGCAGCCTATGGGAGCTCTCCTCAGCAGCAGCAGCAGCAGCAAAATACCTACATCTCTTCTTCATATGAATCTAGGAGATTTTCTTAGTCTTTCTTCTTCTATTGATGACTTTCTTAAAACCCCTTTGTTACAAATACCCCCGCTGCAGCAACTCGTAGAGAGGGGGCATCAGCTGTCTCCGTGGGCAGCAGCAACAAACAGCAGCAGCAGCAGCAGCAGAAGCAGCAATAACCATCTCAGGCAAAGGGAGCAGCACCTCCTAAGCACAGCGGGGCTTCTCTTCTAAACCAACACTCACAAACCCTAAACCCTAAACCCTAAACCCTCGGCAGCAAACGCAGCCACTGACTCCCCTGCAGACTCTTTTTATTTATTCACTCATTTTTGGTGCTTGCAGCGCAAACCCTAAACCCTAAACCCTCGGCAACTGCAGCCAGCAGCATCAGCAACAACAGCACAAACAGCAGCAGCAGCAGCAGCAGCAGCAGAAGCAGCAACAACAACCTCAAGAGTATGCTGCAGTGTCTCCTGTCTCCTCAAAGACACAGCCGAGGAGACAGTAGCATAGAGGCCCTTTAAGCTTATTTACAGCGATAATAATAATAATAAGTAAATAAAAAAATAAAATAAAATGAAATAATAGGAGACAGAGAGACGCCAACTGGACAAGAGACAGAGACAACTGCTGTTTGTGTTACACCTCAGTTTTAATATTATTATAATATTTTATATACACTCCTCAGTTTGCTTTCTTCTTTTGTCGTTTGCTTCGTACTCTTGCCCCTCTAATCCCTAAACTAAACCCTAAACCCTAAACCCTAAACCCTGGGGCAGCCACCCCAGTCTGAACTTGCATGGGTGCGTAACCGGAGATGTCATAAGAAAACAACAGAGCATAGACAGATAATATAATATATTATATATATATAATTATATATTATGCATATATATATTATTCATACACATTTGTATGTACACATATATCATATACAGTTCTATATATAATATATATACATATAATACATGCATGCATATGTTTATTATATATAATTATTAATACGAACGAAGCCCTAGGTGTTGGTTGAGAGTGTTTGTTAAGCTATCTTCTTCAGGTGTATAGGCACCTCCTCCAATTCCTTCCTTTATTTATACTTCAAATAGTCTTTAAAAATTAAAAACTTCGAAAACAATTCAAGCAAATAAACAAAACATAAGGGGGGCCCCCTAGGGGGGCCTCCAAGGGGGCCCCCCAGGGGCCCCCTGATACTGTTGGGGGCCCCCAGGCCCTAAGAAGGGCCCACAGCATCAAGAGTTATAAAACCCCATTGAATTGTTTTTGTCTCTTTAAGAAGTGCAATATAATACACCCTCTGTTTATTATTATTACTATTATTATTATTATTAATATTATTAAGGGGGCCCCTCTCATTGTTGCTGGGGGCCCTCCTTTCTTTTTGCTGCTGCTAATGTTTTTTACTCTCTGGACCTTTGGGGGGCCCCCAGTTGCTCTCACCTCTACGACTGTCTCTCCTTCTGCAGCTGTCCCTGGGGGGCCCCCCGTAAGGGGAGATGCTGAGGATACACCTCAGGGTTCTTATGCTGTTTTCGCTGATGCAGATGGAGACCTTGAACCCCCTAGATGCCGAGGCCTCCCAAGGGGCCCCTCGCGCGTTGGGGGGCCCCCTGGGGCCCCTGGGGCCTCCCAGAGGGCCCCTGAAGAGGAGAGCTCTAATGGGGGCCCCTCAAGAGTAGTAATGTCCTCTACGCTGGTTTTGAGTAAAGAGGAGTTAACGAAACAGCTACGAAGAGGAGCTCTGGATTACTTTTTTATTGTGCAGCAACAGCCTAAAGATATCAAAAGGGTAGGGAAGGGCCTCTGGCCTGCTGCTATCACTTTGGGGGACTACCTTCTTAATAATACACAACTCTTTAGGGGCCCCCCTAATTGCTGCAGCAGGGGGCCTCCTAGTACATGCATCAGGGGGCCCCCACATGAAGGCAATCCTCTCGCTACACCAGAGGCCCCTACTGGTTCAGTGGGGGGCCCCTTGGGGGCCCCTGAAGAGGTCTCCTCTGGGGCCCCACAGGGGGGCCCCCAGGGGAGCCCCCCTCAAGCACCAACGGGGGCCCCAATAGAAGACCCTTGCAGAAAGCGAAGGGTTTTTAGGGTCCTCGAATTAGGCAGTGGCGTTGGCCTCATGGGGCCCCTCTTACGTCGGCTGCTGATCCGGGAAGCATTAAGAACGGCCCCCATGGGGGCCCCTGGGGGGCCCTCTGTGGGGGCCCCTGGGGGGCCCTCTGTGGGGGCCCCTGGGGGGCCCCCTAATGGTCTCCCTGGAGGACTCCCTGGGGGGGCCCCTGGGGGCCCCTGTAGGGGGACCCCTGTGGGGGCCCCTAAGGGGTCTTCTGTGGGGGCCCCTGGTGAGGCCGCTGAGGGGGCCCCTCGGGGGGGCCCCTCAGATTCTTTGTTAGATTTGTGTGTGGAGGTATATTTGACTGATTTGAATGAAGATGCCCTGGAGATATGCGAGAAGACCCAACAGGTGGATCAGGAGCTGCTGGGGGCCCTCTTAAAGAACTTCTTTGGGGGCCTCACCCCCCAGAATGCTTGTGGGGGCCCCTGCGGCCATAAAGAAGTAGTAGAGGAAGCATGCAGTAACGAGAGGGGCCCCTCAGGGGGCCCCTGGGGCCCCTACGTGAAGGTCTATGTGAGGAGACTCGACTGGGAGACGGGGGGCCCCTGGGGGCCCCTCTCGTCAGTGCGCTATGATGAGGGTACTGAGGGGCCCCCTAACTCGGGGGGGCCCCTTCCTCGGGGTCCCCCTGAGGGCATGGGGCCCCCGGAGGCCCCTATTGGAGACCGTTTTGATTGGAGAGAAGAAGAAAAGGAGACACTAAAACAAAGAGGGGCCCTTGACCTCATTATTGCATCCGATGGTCCGCAGGGGCCCCCCTAACGCACATTCAGCACAACACATAATAATTATAAATATACACGCTGCAGCAAATGAACCCATACAATAAGCAGCAGCAGCAGCAGCAGCAGTGTGGAAGCAGTGGGGGAGGGACGGCAACGTCTCTCTTCTTCCTCTTCTTGCTGCTGCTGCTGCTGCTGTTTCTGTTGCTGCTGCTGTTGCTGCTGCAGCAACGAAGCTGCATGAGTAGCTTTGGTTGCTGATTGATGACTGGGGAGACACAGAAAAAAGCACTTCATTCCACTCGTGTTTGTTTGTTTGTTTGTTTGTTTGTTTGTTTGTTTGTTTGTGAGTTGGTTGGGGCTGCATGCGTTTCGTTTGTCTTTGCTGTGGGGTTTGTCTTTGCGTGTGCTGCAGTTATATATGGCTTTCACTCTAACAGCTACTTAGCTGCGCTGCTGCAGAGGTTGCTGGTGCTGAATCCTTCCTGCTGCTGCCTGCTCGCACACTGCAGGAGGCTGGGGATCGTCTGCCCCACTTCATCGATCCCCGTCGACGTCTTTGCCGAAGATTTCTGGGATCGCTTCTGCACGCTCGACCCCACACTCGATCCCACGCTCGATCCCGATCCCGCACACGATCCCACAGTCGATCCCACAGAAGATGGACCCCCCTTCCAGCTGTACGCACACCCGAAGCCGCCGGAAGCTCTGACATTCGCTGGGATCGTCGATCCCACAGAGCTGAGCTCAGCCTTTTCTGCTCTCACAGGAGGAGTGGGGCCAGCCGGGAAGCAAGCACCTCTAAAGGATGACGAGATGTTGCAGCAGACCACAGAAGGAGCTGTTCCTGCTGCAGCAGTTGCTGCTGCAGTTGCTGCAACTCCTGCTGTTGCTGCAGAAGCAGCAGCAGCAGCTGCTGCTGCTGCAGAAGAAGGGGCCCCGTTTATGCTGCGACCCTGGGAGACGCAGAAGGAGGCAGCAACCCAGGGGGAGGTGTGGGAGCTGCGTCTGAGGCGATCTGTTCTTCATAATTTGAGGAAGAAGATAAATAAATAGAATAAATTAAATATATAATTATTACAATAAAGTGTTTTGAAAGAAATAAAACAAAGTTATTCAACAGCTTGTTTAGCCCCGCCGCCTTAAGCGATCGATCCTGCGCTCCTTTGCGGGCAGCAAGAATGTTTCTTGCTGCACACTGCTGCTCTCAGACTTAGTTTAAGTTCAGAATAATATATTTAAATAATATATTTTAATTAATTTAATTTATTTCAATCGAAATAACTCAAACTCCCACCGCCCAGCTATATGCAGCGAGCAGCGGGGGTCACTCGGGGCCCCCTTAGCCTCTGTAGAAGGAGGAGGGGGCGGCAGCATCTTTTGAAGTTATTGCGGTTTATGTTTTAAATTAAACAATTAAATATCTTTATAATTCGTTTTCTTCATCTTTTACATATCCAGACGCCCTCCTTTCCCCAGAAGGAGGGCCTCAGCTCCCGCTTCTGTGGCGGGTGGCCTCCTACGAGCATCCGAGGGTTTAGGGTTTAGGGTTTAGGGTTTAGGGTTTACGATGGCTCTTCAGAGTTCGGCTCAGGCCATGTATGCTGCCCTCTTCAGTGGGGAAGCGATGCGGGAGGCCTTGCAATGGTGTGTTTACCCCGTCAGAGCAGCAGGCACCTCCATACCTCTCTCTGTCTTGCTATCTTCTTTAACCTTTCAGCTATTTAGTTAAGAAATAACCTATTATATCAACTAGTCTAGCACTGGTGTTGAATGGGATTGTCTGGGAATGCCTGGGATCGCCTGGGATCGCTTGGGATCGCCTGGGATCGTCTGGGATCGACACCTGCTTGTTGCTCGCTTCGCAGGGAGGAGACTCCCCCTAGGCCTTCTTCTGCAGATCCTTATCTCACTGCATACAGAGACGACTACAGAGGGCACACGTGGATGGCTAGCTGGACATACACCCCAGCTAGCCAAGCACAAACACAACGAGAGGCCCCCCCACCAAAGACACGCAGGCCGGCAGATGTACTCTTTAACTCTTTATGCTGCTGCTGCTGCTGCTGCTGCTGCTTCCTCTCTTGCTGCTGCTCCTCTGCTGCTGCTGCTGCTACTACTCCAGTTCGTATTGCTCCTGCCGCTGCAGCAGCAACATCGGAGTGTTGCTGCTGAGGCTCCAACCGCTGCTGCTGTTGCTCCTGCTGCTGCTGAAGCTGCCCCAGCTGCCATTGCAGCAGATGTTCTCTCGATGTGCTGCTGCCGCTGTGCTGCTGCTGCTGAAGTTGCTGCTGATGCTGCACCCATTCCTGTTCCTGCTGATGCTGCTGCTGCCGCTGTTGCTGTTGCTGCTGCTGCCGCTGCTGCTGTTGCTGCTGCTGTTGAAGGTCTCCCAAGTAGTCTAGGGTTGCGAGCACTGCCTCGAGAGCAGCACAACTGCTGTGCATCCTCTGCTGCTGTTGCTGCTGCTGATGATGCTGCTGCTGCTGCTGCTGCTGCTGCAGGCGACTCTCTGCTGCCCTTCTGGCGCGCTGCAGTCTTCTGCCGATGAAGGCAAGAAATTCTCTGAGGCTTAAAAACCCTAAACCCTAAACCCTAAACCCCAACAGTTGCATGCTTTAGCACCGCTGTAGCCCCGCTGCCCTCTGTCCCCTCCGCGTTGTTCCTGCTGCTCCGATTCTTGCTATTGCTTCGTTGTTGTTGCTGCTGCTGCTGCTGTGGTTGCTTCTACTGCTGCTGCTGCTATTGCTATTGTTGGTGGCTCTGCTGTTGATGCTGTTTCTGCTTCTGCTTCTGCTTCTGCTTCTGCTGCTGTTGTTGGTCTTGTTGCGCTTGCTGCTGTTGCTACCATTGCTTCGGCTGCTGCTGTTGTCGTTGCTGCTGCTGCTGCAGTGTCTCAAGAGTACTGTTCGTTGGCTTACCGTGAGGCCTTAGAAAGGATGAGGGCCTCCAGGGGCCCCACAGCCCACTGCATGCAAACAGTGACAGTGGGAGTCGATCGGGGAGGAGACGATCCCCAGCGCCCTTGCTGCTCCCTGCATGCGTCTTGCAGACAGCAGCAGCAGCAGCAACAAGAGCAGCAGCAGCAGGTAATGGACTGGAGGCCTTCCTGCCTCTGCCGCAGCTGCCGCCGCTGCTGCTGCTGCTGCTGCAGCAACCCGGGCCTTTCACCGTTGCAGCAGCAGCCCCTGCATCACACTCGTCGCTTTGCTTCAGCAGCAAGCAGGTCCCCACAGGCACCGCAACAGCAGCAGCAGCAGCAGCAGCAGCAGCAACAACAGGAGGTTCGCGTGCGAGGGTTTCTGCCTTCAAGAGGGGGCCTCGGAAGGAGACGCAATGAAGCTCTGCTGCAGCGAGTGGGGGGCGGCTATCAGCTGTATGGGCCCATCCCTTGGGGCCCCTTTAAGGAGACACATGCTCAAACCAACACACCAGTAAGACAAACCCTAAACCCTAAACCCTAAACCCTAAACCCTAGTTGAAGGACGCCTGGGGCAGGAGCAGCTTGCGCTGCTCTTCCGTTTGCATGCAGCTCGACACCACAAGACATGCTGCTACCCAAACAGCAACAACTGCAGCACCAGCAGCATCAGCAGCAGCGCAGCAGCAGCAGCAGCAGCAGCACTGCGAGTCTCCGTGCCGCAGTATGATGCGCAGCAGCAGCTGTCGGGGGCCCCACCTTTCAGCTGCTGCCTGCACCAAGCAAAGGGCCCCTGGCTTAGAGATAAAGTGGAGCAGCAGCAGCAGCAGCAGCTGCTGCTGCTGCTGCTGCTGTACCTCAGGGGCCTCTGGCTCTCGCGACCTGCACGCAGGGGGTGAGGGGTATTCTCTTACAACCCTAGCAGCAACAGCACCAGCAACACCGCCAGCAGCAGCAGCAGCTGCTGCTTCTGCTGCTTCTACTGCTGCTGCCGTTGCTGCAGGGAGACCCTCCCTTGTCCTTGAGCCAAAGCAATATATCAGAGCAGCAACGGCCTCTGCTCGCTGCTGCAGCGCAACGCTGCCGCGAAATAAACGGCAGCAGCAAACGGTGCAGCAGCAGCAGCAGCAGCAGCAGCAACAACAGTCGGGCGGCAGTAGCTGCTGCTGCTTCGCAGCACAGGGGCCCCCATTCACTCTTACGCAGCAAACAACTGTGAGGGGAAGAGACAGCTCAGGGTCCAGGGGGCCCCGGGGGCCCCCAACTGGAATTGTAAGGGGGGCCCCCAGGAGGGGCCCCAAAGGGACAGCAAAAAGGGCCCCCAGGGGGCCCCCATCAAGGGGGGCCCCCTCTGTGCTGCAAGGGTATGCGGGGGCCCTTCAGAGTAGATTGCCGTCTCAGCCTAGACAGACAAACACCATGAGCCCTAAGTAAGCAACATCGAAAACCCTAAACCCTAAACCCTAAACCCTAAACGCTAGAATATATACCCTAGACCCTAAACCTTAAACCTTAAACACTAGAATATAAACCATAGACCCTAAGCCCTAAACCCTAAACACTAGAATATAAACCCTTTACCCTAACGCCTAAAACCTGAACCCTCAAACTTTAGCCCTGGACCCTAAACACTAAACCTCGAATTTCAAACCGCATACCCTAAACCCCAAACCCTAAACCCTAAACCCTAAACCCTAAACCCTAAACCCTAAACCCTAGAGGGTGGGTGCTTGATTTATTGCAGGCCTAAGGCGTGGTGCCCCCACTGCGGTCGGGCCCCACACTTAGCTCCCTGCTCCTCTCACTCATCACCTCCAAAAGATTTTCTTTGGGTTTTCCCGAGCAATTGCAGAGAGCCCTGAGTTTAAAGAAGGACATTTAAGCTGCTCTTACTGTCTCCTAGAGATAGCGGAGGCAACATAACTGCATGCATGCACACAATGGGGCTTTCATGCATAGAATACAAACGAAAGAAGAAACCCTCTAATGCCAGAGAGACCCCTAATCCCTAAACCCTAAACCCTAAACCCTAGACAAGGGATATATGCACTGAGGGTTTCGAGCAAGATATACAAGTTGGGGGGCCCCCATTTAAGAAACTTGAGGGTTTAATTTTAACTGCGAGAAATGCAAGAGGCAAAGAGGGGCCCCCCTCTTGCTCTTGTTGCGGCCCTCAGAGTATATGCATATTCTCTGCACCAGACTAAACAGGTTTATAAGTTTGTTTTGATTGAAAATAAGCGAAGAAAAGGCGAAAAAAAACAAAGAGATAAAGAGGCGTCAGTGGGGTCCCTTGGGGGCCCCCAGGGCCTCCAAGCGACCCTTTAATACATATGGGCCGCTCAAAAGCTTGAAATAAGAAGGAAATAAGTTAAAAATATAGAAGGAAAGACAAATAAAATATTTATTTAATTAACAATAATTAAATTAATTGTTTACTCAGCCGTCAGAGGTGCTGAGGAGCAGAAGAGCCAGCGTGCAGCGCCCGGTGGTGTTGCGATGGCTGTATGATTGTTTTAGGGGTTTTCTATGAAAATAAATTAAAAATAAAACCTTTTATGCATTATTAATTATCTTTTTATTCTTTATATTCTAAAATATTGTAAAGAAAGACCCGCCATCGCCCCCCTTCCCGCTGCAACCACTGGTCACCCGGTGGAAACCTATTGCGCACACAAACCCTAAACCCTAAACCCTAAACCCTAAACCCTAAATCCTAGACCCTAAACTCTAAACCCCAAATATCAAACCCTGAAAGACAAGCCTTAAGTCCGAAATACTAAACCCTGGAGGCCAGAGCTTAAACCTTAGCATCCTCAATCCTACACCCTAAACCCTAAACCCTAAACCCTAAACCCTAACCCTGAGCCATAAACCGTCTACAGTATCTACTTGCTGCTAGCGTTTCGTTTGATTGGTGCATTTTGTGCCTCGCATCCATCAGTTTTTCCCTACCTGAACCCCTAAACCATAAACCCTAAACCCTAAACCCTAAACCCTCGGCGGCTGGGCCATCAACCCCGCTGCTGATGGTCTTCCGCGAGGGGGCCTCAGCAACAGGCCGCTCTCTGCTTCCTCTGCCTGGAGACTGTGGGCCTTCTCCCCCTCCTTCTTCTTCTTTGCCGCTTGACGCATCTGTCTGCATCAGTAGGTTATTTGCTCTTTTAAAGCTGCGGGGTCATACATCTTAGGGTTTAGGGTTTAGGGTTTAGGGTTTAGGGTTTCTGCAGGAAAAATGCATCATTCTACCCGAGGCTCCGATGTCGCAATGGAAGACAAACCCCTCAAACACCATCAAAAATGGGCGGTGTATGTTCAATGCTGCAGCAGCAGCAGCACAAGTAGCAGCAGCAGCAGCACAAGCAGCAGTAGGATCAGCCGGACAGCAGCAGCAGCAGCAGCGGCTCAAGCAAAAACAATAGCATGACCAGCAGCAGCAGCAGTAGCACAAGCAGCAGCAACAGCCCAAGCAGCAGCGGCAGCAGCAGAGGAAGCAACAGCAGCACAAGCAGCACAAGCAGCACAAGCAGCAGCAGCATCAATTAGCACAACCCTCCTCCGGAGAGCAGTGGGGGCCCCTTCAAATTGGGGCCCCCATAGGGGCCCCTTAGTAACGCAACGCCAACTAGGCAGCAGCTGCAGCAATAGCAGGAGCAGCAACAGCAGCAGCAGCAGCTTTCTTTTCCCCTGTTGAGGTGTATAGGCAGCTTACCTTGTTGTGGGGTGTACGTACACCTCGTTTGTTGTCTCTGCAGCACTCTTTTAGCAGCGAGAGCCTCTCTGGGGAATTCTTTGCTGCCTCTCGCCGTCCGTCTTCCTACTTCTGCTATTGATGTTAATGAGTGGCTTGCCTGCCAGGGTAATATCAATGCATGCACTCCTGCTGCTGCTGCTGCTGCTGTTGCTGCTACTGCTGCTGCTGCTGCTGCTGCTTAATTGGCGTTGCGAAGTGTCACTTCACGCACGCCGTGAGATTGGGCTGTGGGTGTAGGTACGCAGTTAGGGTTTAGGGGGGTTTAGGGTTTAGGGTTTAGGGTTTGCGCGCAGTGTACGACATATTCAACGAAGCAACAGTGGTTTGGGGTTTCTGCCGTGAAGTTTGTAGCTGCCGCCGTCTTACTGCTGGCGAGTGAGTTTGTCTGCTGCATCTATCTTATTTAGGGTTTAGGGTTTAGGGTTTAGGGTTTGCTTTCCAGCGGCAGAGACCATACAGACACAAGCAGAAAGAATAATAGAGGAGAAGGAAGGGCAGCAGCAGCCGCAACAGCCGCAGCAACAGCAGCAACAGCAGCAGCAGCAGCAGCTCAGAGTAGTAGCAGCAAGAGCAGCAGCAACAAGAAAGAGCAGTTCAGCGCGAAAGTATTCCTTAGCCCCAATTCCCAAACCCTAAACCCTAAACCCTAAACCCTAAACCCTAAACCCTAAACCTGGGGAAAAAGGAAGCTTGCAGCAACCCTTGTTTGCTTTGCTGCTGCTGAGCTGTACGTACACCTCAGCTTCAGTCTCGTTGCGCCTACTGAACCCTCTTCTCCTGCAAGAGAGCATATAAAAGGCGCGTTAGCAAAGTGCCGCTCCCTTTTGCAAGACACCCGCATTTTCGTATGCCAACCGGGTAAACCCTAAACCCTAAACCCTAAACCCTAATAGGCCCTAATAAGCCCTAATAAGCCCTAATCAACCCTAATCAGCCCTTCGCAAATGTACAGCAAACCCTAAACCATTACCTGAAATACTAAAACCCTAGAAGCTGCAAAGACAGCCGGCGTGTTTACTTCCCAGTGATTAAAAACCCTAAAACGTGCCGTGCTGTGAGGCAGTTGCAAGCCGTGATTTGTTGGAGCTAGGGTTTAGGGTTTAGGGTTTAGGGTTTGTGTTGGTGTGTAGGGCAGGAGTTTCCCCGCAACTTTCCTTCTTTTGTTTCGCACATATTAGTGCAGCTGCTGCAGATGTACTGCCATATATACAGACAACACTTTGACTGGCTGTTGGAGGTAAACCCTAAACCCTAAACCCTAAACCCTAATAAACAATAAACCCTAGCCAGCAACAAACCCTAATTAACAACACCGACTCACCCTATATACCCTAATAAAGCTCAACACAAACCCTTAAAAACACCGACGAAGCAAACCCTGACAAACCCTCAACAGCAAACCCTAATAAACCCTAATAAGCCTACTGCACTCTAATAATGAATCGCAAACCCGAATAAACATTAAACAAGAATACTAAACCCTAATAAACCCTAAACACCAGTAGTAAACCCTAATAAACCCTAATAAACCCAAGCGGACCCCAGAAACACAAATATAGACGAGGGGAAACCCTAGGAAGAGGTAGAAACCCTAATAAGCCTTACTAAACCCTATTAAACCCTAAACCCTAGACCCTAATAAACCCTAAAAAACCCTAATACTGACGACCTTGCTCCCTTAGAAGTACTGCACTGGTAGTCAAAGGCCAGTGGATTGAAGCTCTCAGCTGCTGCAGACAGCAGCAGCACTAGGTAGCAGCAGCAGCAGCAGCAGCGGCAGCACAAGCAGCAGCAGCAATTGTGTTGACACGACCCGAATGCAGCCGCTGCAGCAGCAGCAAGCACAGCAACAGCAGCAGCAGCAGCACCGGCTGCAGCATCACCAACTACAGCAGCAGCAGCAACAGCAGCAGCAACAGCAGCAGCAGCAAGAGTGTATGTTGTTTGTTGCTGCTGTTTAGACAGACACTGTAGCACATGTAAATTCTTGCTTTAAGCACGCCCTCTTCTTTGGGATGGAATTCAGTCTGGTGAAGATAGACGACGTCGCCCCCATTAAGGCAAGTGTCTCCTTTTACAGCCAACTGTCTCCTTTTCATGCTGAGTACTACTGTCTCCTTTCACCACCAACTGTCTCCTCTCACTGCCAACTGTCTCCTTCTATTGTTGAGTACTATCCTAAACCCTAAACCCTAAACCCAAACGGCTAGCATGGGGCCCCACAGGGGCCCCCTGTGGGGGCCCCCACAGGGGTCTCCAACGGGTCCCTAGAAGACCCTTCAAGGAGCCCCCAAAAGAGCCTCAAAGGGGCCCCCCAAAGGGCCCCCAAGGGGCCCCTAGAAGGGCCTCAAAGGGGCCCCCAAAGGGCCTCAAAGGGACCCCCAAAGGGACTCCAAGGGGCCCCTAAAAGGGCCTCCAAGGGCCCCGCAAAGGGTCCCCGAGGGGCCCCCTAAGGGCCCTACGATGCTCTTGTGTATGTGCATGCGTCATCACTTATAAGAAGAAACCCCAAAGGGTTTAGGGTTTAAGAAGAATGTTTGGGCCCCTTTGAGGCCCCACCACTACCTCTTCCTCTCTAAACCCTCAAGGGCCCCCTAGGCCCTTGATCACAGCCATAACAACATAAAAACTCCTACGGGGGCCCTAAACCCTAAACCCTAAACCCTTGCTGCACCTCTTGGGGGCTTTCACAGTGGTGGGGGCCCTTGGGGGCCCCTCCAGAGGTGGGGAGGAGGCCTTCAGGAGACAGTAAATAAGGGTGTCTCCTTTGCTAGTGTGCGTGCCTTTGTGTTTGCTGCTGGTGCTGCTTGTCTCCTTGGGGGCCCCCAGCTGTCTCTCGGCTATTCGTTTGCTGCTGCTCTTCTCAGGGCCTCACGCTGCACTTCTTGGAGCAGGCTCAGAGGGAAATAGCAGAAGCAGAGGCAGCAGATGACCAGCAGCAGCAGCAGCAGCAGCAGCAACAGCAGCAGCAGCAAAGAGACGCAGCCCTGCTGCAGCAGAAGGGACAGCAGCACATGCAAGAACAGCAACTGCGCCGTCCCCTTTAAGGCCCGTTGATAATCAGGGGCCCCCAAAGAGGCCCTGCAACGAAAGCAGGGTACATTCAAGGGGCCCCCCATCAGTCAAACTTATATTGCCAGCGCTAACCAACAACCTCAACTCAGTTGGGGGCCCCCGAAGGGCCTCTTAAGGCCCTAAGGATTCTAAGGGCCCTCTAAATGCCTTGGGGGCCCCTTAGAGAGTTGGGGGCCCCTTACAGCGTTGGGGCCCCCCTGGAAGCCTCGGGGCTCCCAGAGAGGCTAAACCCTAAACCCTAAACCCTACACCCTAAACCCTAAACCCTAAACCCTATAACTTTTAGTGCATTGAGACCATCTAGGAGCTTTGGGTCCCCCAAAGGCCTTGGGGGGCCCCCGAATGACGTGGGGGCCCCTGAGAGCTGTGACAGCCCCTGAGAACGTTGGGGCCCCCCGGGTCCTGGGGCCCCCTGAACCACTTGGGGGCCCCTAGGCGCCCCTGGGGGCCCCTAGGCGCCCCTGGGGGCCCCCCTATTCGATGGGGCCCCTCTGAGGGACTGTTGGTAGCACAAGCAATACACGGATGGACTCCAGCTGCAGTTGACAAGCACAGACAAAAACCCTAAACCCTAAACCCTAAACCCTTATTTCGAAGCCCTAGACAACCAACCCTCCCTCAGCCATTCAAATCAAAGAGAAGAACTGCAACATAAAACCCTAAACCCTAAACCCTAAACCCTAAAACCCTAAATCCCAACTCACTCCTTCGTTCTGTAGCACCACTGACAGCCACCCGTGCTGCGCCTCGTCTTCTGGTACCACTGCAGCAACGCAGGCTCTCAAACCCTAAACCCTAAACCCTAAACCCTAAACCCTAAACCCTAAACCCTGACGCTGAAGGCTAGGGAAGGGCCGTGACGTACGCAGCGCCACAAGCCCATCGATCTCCTTCCCCTGGCTATTGCTGCAGTCCAGCAGTGCCTGAAACGCAAACCCTAAACCCTAAACCCTAAACCCTAGAGCGTCCGTCGTAGATCCTAGACCCTAAGTCCTAAACTCTAAACCTTAAACCCTAAACCCTAAGCATACCTTGAGGCCAGCAATAAGGTGCTTCGTGAGGACCGAGCGGACGAAGGAGACATTCTCCAAACCTGCACACATACGAAGTCTAGCCCTAGCCTAAAGAGCTAGGGTTTAGGGCTAGGGTTTAGGGCTAGGGTTTAGGGTTTAGGGTTTAGGCTGAGGCTAGGGGCTTCCTAACCTTCTTGCCCCTCAGGCACAAGACGACTGCAGCGAGTGTACATCGCCTTGGCGGTCACGAGCTCAGACGCTGAACACACAAACCCTAAGCCCTAAACCCTAAACCCTAAACCCTAGAGTCCAAGTGTTGTCTCCAAGGCCAGGTGAGGAGGGCTAGGGTTTAGGGTTTGGCGGACCCGCAGAAACAGCCAAATCAAATGCATTGCAGTCCTGAGGGTTTATGCTGCCTTCAAGGGTCACCTCCTCGCCGCCTGCAAAAACCCTAAACCCTAAACCCTAAACCCTAAACCCTTAACCCTTGATCCCAGTGAACGCTTTCCTTGCGTGCAAAACACAATCGTATGTGATCCAGACTGCCCTTCAGTGCACAATATAGGGCGTAGGGTTTAGGGTTTAGGGTTTGGGGGTACCGAGTTTGCGGAGGCGCTCCAGCATCGCAAGGAGACTCTTGACACGCGGGAGCTCTAAGTTCGACTGTACATCCAAACCATAAACCCTAAACCCTAAACCCTAAACCCTATGAAATCAAAGCATTAGGGCTGGTTGAGGGTAGAGTCTGCATGGAGGGACCGAATCTGGGCATGCCACCCTTTTAGGGTTTAGGGTTTAGGGTTTAGGGTTTAGGGTTTTGCTTGCTTTGCAGGGAGGAATCTCAGGGGTGCCGGCTTCATCTACTGCGGGGCCCTGTAAGGGGACAACGCGGCAGTCCTAAGGAGACTCAGAAGGAGACAGATGGTTGTTGGGGTGTATATACACCTCGTTGTAGCAAGAAGAGACAGAAGAAGAGGCTATTGCTTATTTATTTAGCTGCATATATACTCCAGAGGTGCGGCTGTAAATGCGGGGAAAGCTGCCGCGCAATCAAACCCATCCAAGCAGATCCTCCAAACCCTAAACCCTAAACCCTAAACCCTAAACCCTAAACCCTAAACCCCTAGCATCCGATTATACCTGGGTTATCCAGACGTTGGCCAGCTGAAGGTCGGTAAATTCAAACACCAGCGCTCCCTGTCCCATCCGCCTGCAGGAGAACCCTAAACCCTAAACCCTAAACCCTAATCCTTAAACCCTAAACCCTAAACCCTGAAAGTAATCTCCGGTTTATACAAGTCTTTCGCTTTGCCTCAAATTCTTCAGCGCAGTTGCGCCTCTACTTGAAGAACAATCCCACTCACTATATTGCATCATCCCTTAGGGTTTAGGGTTTAGGGTTTAGGGTTTAGGGTTTACTTAGCGAGCTTGACTGTTATCCTACGACAACTCTGAGCTAACTTCAATGTACTCAGCAATTGCCGAGGCTCCACTTGCAGCGCCACGCAGTTATTTCGTTTGCTTTCTAATATCCAGCCCACATTAAACACCTCCGCCTACGCACAAACCCTAAACCCTAAACCCTAAACCCTAAACCCTAGACCTTTGCCACAATTATTTCCAGAAGAGCAGCATTGTAGGATTAGGATCAATCAAGGACTAGGAACTACTGTGAGGGTTTAGGGTTTGGAGTCAAGGAAGAAGAATTAGGGTTTAGGGTTTGGAGTGAAGGAAGAAGAATTAGGGTTTAGGGTTTGGAGACCATGTCTAGCTCGGAGTAGAGTTCACAGAAGGGTTGTCTTGTGTTTAAACTAAGTTTTTTTGGGGTTAGCTTAAGACAGCAGCTGCCGGGGGTCCCCCCCCTAGCTAGCCGCTGCAGCGCCGCCGTTATCCCTGCAGCACGCAAAACAAACCCTAAACCCTAAACCCTAAACCCTAAATTATAAACAGCAGGGCTGTAGCAAAAAGAACCACCTACCAATCAGATGGGGAAGCGCTTCCAGACGCAGAGAGGCACTGAACTTCATCTTGCCAGAGATCTTGAAACCCTAAACCCTAAACCCTAAACCCTAAACCCTAAACCCTAAACCCTAACCTTCAACCCTAAACCGTCGATCCTGGGTCATGTGCAGAAGCTGTTAGGCAGCCCACAATGGGGCCCCATTGGACATACGGTTGGGGATTTAGGGTTTGGGGTTTAGGGTTTAGGGTTTGGGGTGTAGAGAGATAAGGGCCCCTTGCAAACCCTAAACCCTAATCGCAGAGCAGTAAGCCCTGCACCCAAAAACCCTAAACCCCAGACCCTAAACCCTGAATATGTAGCGAGAAAGAATCTTCAGGCTGAAAGAAGCAGATAAAATATATATAATATATAAATATATTTAGAGGGGCCCCCCGCTGTCTACGGTACCCTATGGGGGGCCCCTGGGTCTTGGGGGCCCCCTAGCTTTGTTTGTTTGCGCCGATGTTTTTTCTTTTTGAATAACTCAATTAAATTAATATATTTATTTATTTATTTATAACTAAATACATAAAAAGAAGATAAAAGGCTGCAGCTTCTCTTTCTAGTTCCTCTCCCACCGACCCAAACACACCGTTGGGGGGCCCCCTCGTTTTGCTGCAGTTAGGGGGGCCCCTCAGCAGCAGGGGGGCCCCTCGTGCTGCAGTATATAAGCGCAGTTTAGGGGGGCCCCTTACTGTACCCTTTTGAATGGCAGCAGCAAGCAGCACCCATCCAGGGGCCCCCCTCAGCTTCGACAGGTGGGGGGCCCCCAATGAACTCAGCAGGGGGCCCCCTTTTGCTGCTGGACTCCCCTCAAGCATAATATCGCCTGTAAGAGAGACAGCGAGTTATCAGCACTACACAAGGAAGCCGTTAGGCAGCAGCAGCAGCAGCAGCAACAGCAGCAACAGCAGCAGCAGCAGCAACAGCAGCAACAGCAGCAGCAGCAGCGGCAGGAACAACAGCAGCAGCAGCAGCGGCCGGAACAACTGCAGCAGCAGCAACAGCAGCAGCAGCAGCAGCAGCATAGGGGCCCTTATTAGGGAACTTGTCCAGTCACGAGTTGCCGCTCTGGGCCTTAAGGGGGCCCCCCAAGCAGCAAAGCAGAGGGCTCGCAGCGCTGCCTGGGGGGCCCTCCTCAGGCCCTCTATTCATTGCAACAACAGCAGTAGCAGCAACGACAGCAGCAGCAGCAGCAGCGACACGAAACAAGCACAAGATCTCACGCTGCTGCTGCTCCTGCAGCAGAAGCAGCTTCTGCTGGTGCAGCAGCAGCAGGATGACGCACATTTCCTGGGGTTTGCTGCTGCAGCAATCTGCGGTGATTGGGGAACAGAGGGGGGCCCCACGGGGGCCCCCATAGACTCCTGGAGGGGCCCCCCTCCGCCTTACAAGGACCTGCAGCAGCCCCTGCAGCATCAAGACCTCATCGTGAGGCGCTACGAAGACGGCTTTCGCTGCTCCTACAGCAGCATCAGTATCAGCAGCAGCAGCAACAACAGCAGCAACAGCAGCAGCAGCAAGAACCGACTGCTGCGACTCCCCAGCATGCGTCTTGGGGGCCCCTTGAAGAGAGGGGCCCCCAACCATCACTATCATTTTCCTCGGCGTTGCGTCTGACTTTAAAACAAGACAGCTCAGCCATCACGAGGGATAGGGGCCCCTTGGGGGCCCCCTTGGTATGCTCTTTAAGGGGCCCCTTTGGGGGCCCCTGTGGGGGCCCCTGTGGTGTGGGGCCCCCTGTAAAGGGCTCAGTAAGAGGGGCCCCCCTTCAGGAATTGCTGTCTCCTGATGAATCTTCTTGCGGTGCTCCTAACGGTCTCCTCTTTGGGGGCCCCCAGTGGGGGGCCCCCCCTCTGTCTCTACAGCTTTGGGGGGCCCCTCCTCCTTCAAACAGCTCTGAAACAGAACCAGCAGCAAAACAGGAAAGGGCTCCTCCCTCAAGCAGCAGCAGCACCAACAACAATAACAGCAGCAGCAGCAGCAGCAGCTGGTTGCTTGGGGGCACTGCAGCAGGCCTCATCGGGGACATAAAGGAGGGGGGCCCCTTTGGTGTCTCCTCGAGGGGCTTCATGGGGGCCCCCCAAGAGCCTCTGGAGGGGGCCCCCCAGTCGTCTATAACCGACTCCTTTCGTGCGTTTCTCTGCAACAAGGAAGCAGCAGCAGCAGCAGCAGCAGCAGCAGCAGCAGAGGAGCAAGAAAACCCTAGAGGTGCTGAAGGAGCCTTTGGGGCCCCCCGCTTCGCCGGGGCCCTGAGGGGCCCCCTGGAACTCCCATCTGTGGGGGCCCTCCCGAGCAGTGTTGCTGCTGCAGATCCTGTAGCAGCAACTGCAGCAGCTGCTGCTGAAGAGCAGCAGCTGCTGCTGCGCCGTTTCACCGCTCTGTCTCTTAGAGGCGAGAAAGCATCTGGGGTGTCTGTGGGGCCCCACATGGAGGGGACTCTGCTGCAGCTGCAGCAGCAGCAGCAGCAGCATCTAATGCCCCCAATCCCATCAAAAGGGGGCCCCCAAAGGGGGCCCCCCTGCTCCTCTGGGGGTCTCCTCTCTATCCCTGAAGGGGCCCTGCTGTACCCTCACCGGGGGCCCCCAGAAGAGGGGGGCCCCCCTAGACCTGGGGGCCCCCCTGGATGTAGAGGGGGGCCCCCTGAAGAGGGGGCCCCCCCTAATTCATTGCCAGCAAATATTTGGCTGGCAGCTACCCGACCCTATCGCTCAGCAGAGGGGGCCCTCGCGCTGCGGCTGCCAGCAGCAGCAGCAGCAGCAGCAGCAGAAAGTTTAGCTGAGGCGGCACTCGGAGGCACCCTTATGGGCCTCACGCAGAGGTGAGCACCAGCAGCAGCAACAGAAGCAGCAACAACAAAAGCAGCAGCAGCAGCAGCAGCAGCAGCAGCAGCAGCAGCAGTAGCAGCAGCAGCAGCAGCAGCAGCAGCAGCAGCAGCAGTAGCAGCAGCAGCAATAGCAGCAGCAGGCTTCCTTGTCTTTTGTTGCTTCTGCGTTGTCCTGTCTCAGGTTAGAGACAGCAAGAGCAGCACTGCTGCAAGGAGACAGACAGCTGGAGGAGACAGACATCCCACCTGCTGCTGAGAGCCCCAGGGCCCCCCCTACTCTGCTGCATCTGCAGTGGTCTCAAGCAAGACCCTGGGGGCCCCCTCAGGGGCCCCCGGGGGGCCCTAGGGGGGCCCTAAAGGTTGAGCAGCTAAGCTCTGCGCCTCTTTGGCTTCGCTGCTGCTGTGCTGCACTTTGTGGAGACCCTTCTCCTTTGTTTCCTCTTGCTGCTGTCTGCTGCTGCTGCAGCAGCACGAGCCCGGAGCAGCAGCAGCAGATGATCTCTCCTGAGGTGTACATACACCCGCAAGAGGTACTCTTCAGGTCCGCCTGCTGCAGCAGCAACAGCAGCAGCAGCAGCAGCAACGGTGGCTGCCCTGCAAGGGCACGGCCTTTCTTTGCTGCTACTGATTTGTGCTGCTGTTACGAGGCGCTGATCGCTGCGCACGGCCCCACAGCAGCAGCAACAGCAGCAGCTGAAAATGCAGCAGCAGCAGCAGCAGCAGCAGCAGCAGCAGCAGCAGCAGCACGTGAGGGCGCCTGCAAGGTTTCGGGGCCCTGGAGGGACGCCCTGCAGGAAATTGCTGAGTGCGCCACTGACAAACCTTTGAGGCTGCACGTGCTGCTGCTGCTGCTGCTGCTGCTGCTGCTGCTGCTGCTGCTGCCGCTACTGCTCGTGTCCTGGCTTCTGCGACAACAGTTGCATTTGCTGGTGTTGTTGCTGCTGCCTTTGCTTGCTGCTGTTGCTATTGCTGCTGCTATTGCAGTCGCTGCTGCCTGTGTTTGTTTTGCTTCCTGCTGTTGCTGCTGCTGTTGCTATTGCTGTTGCTGATGCAGCAACAGGTGTGGGGCTCTGCTGCTTTGTTTGCAGTTTGGGGTCTCTTGTGCTGCGGCTGAAGTCCTTCTGTACAGAGTTTCTGCTGCCTCCTTCTGTGGTCATCTCCCGCAGCAGCAGCAGCAACAGCAGCAGCAGCAACAGCAGCAGCAGCAGCAAGCAGCAGCAGCAGCAGCAGCAGCGGCCTCTGTTTTATGGCCTTACTCTAGCTGCCTTTGCTAGGGCTGTTGAGGCGGAGTTGTTGGCTTTTGAAAGATACTTAGTAAATGAGGTGTATATACACCTCAAGTGCTGCGGCTCCCCGCTGCTGCTGCTTGCAGCAGTACGCCGCTGGCAGCCTTTGCTGCTGCTGCTCGCCCGCCTCTGTGGCCTAGACTTCCCCTGCAGCAGCAGCAGCAACAACAACAGCAGCAACGACAGCAACAGCAGCAGCAGCAGCAACAGCAACAGCAGCAGCAGCAGCAACAGTAGGGTACTGTGGCGCTTCCCTCGAGGGACAGCTCTGCTGTCTCGCCTAATGACGGCTTGCGCTGCGCTGCAGCACCTCAGGAGGGCTCCTCTCCTGCAGCAGCAGCAGCAGCAGCAGCAGCAGGTTTATGGTGGGGAGGCCGCCTTAGCCCTCCGGCTGCTAGAAGCCTCTGCCCCTGCCTTTCTGCACACGTTGTCTCGCTGCTGTTTTGCGGTGAGGGTTTAGGGTTTAGGGTTTAGGGTTTGGTTACATGGCTCCGTTCTTCACAGAGACCTAAAGCTTCTAGTGGGTGTTTCTTCGGTATTGCGAACTAGGGTTTAGGTTTAATGGTGCAGGGATTATGGTTTAGGGTTTAGGGTTTAGGGCTTAGGGTTTAGGGTTTAGGGTTTAGGGTTTGGGTGGGGAGTGCGGTTTGGGGCCCTCAGGGTACACTGGAGGATCTGTCTTTGGAGTTTTCAGCGCCATTTGAGGGCCCCCCGGGGGGCCCCCCTGTGTGGGGTGTACGTGCACCGGGGTCCTGCGAGCTGCTGCTGCTGCTGCCGGAGCCTCTTCTCTTTCTGGGGCCCCTTGCTGCGCGGTGTACCGCGCTGCAGCAGCTGCTGCTGCAGTACGATCCTGCTGCTGCTTCTGCTGCTTGTCTCTTCCTCTCGCAGCAAGCCGCCAGCAGCCACACCCACAGCCAATGCAGCGGCCGCAGCAGCAACAGCAGCAGCAACAGCAACAGCGGCAGCAGCAGCAGCAGCAGCAGCAACAGCAGCAGCAGCAGCAGCACCATTCCTGAACCGGAGTCGGACCCCATAGAAGAGTCATGGGGGGGCCCCAAACGTCTTTTTGGGGCCCCTGGGGGCCTCGGATTTGCCGAGTTTTGTGTTGCAGTGCAGCAGCAGCAGCAGCGGCAGCAGCAGCAACTGATGCTGCAGCCGCCTACAGTTCCAGCGTTGCAGGATGCCCCCAGCAGCAGCAGCATCAACACCAGCAGCAGCAGCAGCAAGGACTGCGGGGAAGAAGTCAGTTGCTGCAGCCTTCCTGCGACTCCAACAGCTCTTATGCTGCAGGGAAGCCCGTGCAACAGCAACAGCAGCAGCAGCAACAGCAACAACAACAGCAGCAGCAGCAGCAGTTCGTTGTTTCTTACATTTGAGGCCCGTAGCATTGCAGCAGCAGTCTCGCAGCAAGACAAATGCTTCGCAGCAGCAGCCAGCCGTCTTCTTAGCCTTGCTGTAAACGGAGAGACAGAAACGTCCGTTGCTGCTGATCTGCAGCAGCAGCAGCAGCAGCAGATTCTGCTGCTGCAACGGGATATACAATATGAGCAAAACCAGCAGCAACAGGACCAACAGCAACAGGAAGAACCGCCAGAACAGGCGGAGCAGCAGCAGCAGCAGCAGCAGCAACAGGAGTCTACCGGCGAGTTTGCTGCTGCTGCTGCTGCTGCTGATGCAGTTGTTCCTGCTGCTGTTGCTGCAGCGCAGGAAGCCCCGCAGGTGGGGGCCCTGGGGGCCCCCCAACGTTTAGAGTGCGTGAGGGGGGCCCCCCTGGGTAAGGTAGATAGAGGGGAAGGGCCCCCCGGGGGGCCCCCTTGCATGCAGCCACGAACAGAAGTTTCTGTGGGGTGCTTGGGGGCCCCTCTAGTGATGCTGCTGCAACGGCCGCTGCTGCTTCAAGGGGCCCTGTACAATAAAGCATTGATGCTGCTGCTGCGGAGAGACGGAAGCCTCAGGGGGCTGCTGCAGCAAATAAAACAGGTGTGGTGGTGGTGGTGCTGCTGCTGATCTTGTTGCTGTTCCTGATGCTGCTGCTCGTGTTGCTGCTCTTGGTGCTGTTGCTGCTGCAGCTCTTGTTGCTGGTGCTGTTGATGTTGCTGCAGCTGCTGCTCTTGTTGCTGCTGCTGGTTATTCCCTGCTACTCTCTTCCCGCTCTTGCTGCTGCGCTGCTGCTGGGCTGCCCGCCCGTGCTGGTGCTGCTGCCACTCCTGCTGCTGCAGCTGCAACTGCTGCTGCCTCTGTTGATTTTTCTTTTGCTGCTGCAGCTGCTGCTGTACGAATCAACTCACGCTGTCCAGGAACTTCGAGTGCTGCTGCACCAACGGCTGCAGCAGCATGTCGAGCACCAGCAACAGCAGCAGCAGCAGCAGCAGCAGCAGCAACAGCAGCAGCAGCAGCATCAGCAACAACATGCAGCAGGACAGCTGCACAGATATGGGATCCGCTTCCCCGCAGTCCAGGTACCCGCAGAGCAAGCCGCAGCAAATGTAGCAGCAGCAGCAGGCGCTGCTGCTGCTGCTCGTGCTGGAGCACCTGCTGCTGGGGCGGCCCTGTGTACTGACATCGAGCTGCTGCTGCAGGGGGCCTTAGGCTCCCTCCCCAGCAGCGCAGCAGCAAAGCAGCAGCAACAGCAGCAGCAGCAACTGCTGCGTCTTACCTGCAACATGCGCTCGGGCGTAGCCGCAGCGGCAGCAGCAGAAGCAGCAGATGCAGCAGCAGCAGCAACAGCAGCAGCAGAGCTGCTGGGCGCACTCCAGATCCTCCCAGATGCCTCGTCTCCCCTGCAGTTGCTGCTGGCCTCCGTAAACCCTAAACCCTCAATCTAAACCCTAAACCCTCATTCTAAACCCTAGGCCCGCAATCTAAACCCTAAACCCTCATTCTAGACCCTAAACCCTCAATCTAAACCCTAAACCCTAAAAGGCGTTCCTGAAGTCCCGCGGGGTTCAGGAAACGCAGTGCTTCATGAAGCGTCACAGTTGAGGGTTTAGGGTTTAGGGTGTAGGGTTTTGCGTTGAGGTGTACGTGCAGCCTGTAAGGGAGAGGTACTCTGACGTCTTTGTTTTCCTCCTGCGTCTTGATGCTGCTTTGGGGGCGCTCGGTGATTGTTGGCTGCTGCGCAGGCAGCAGCAGCAGCAGCAACGCCAGCAGCAGCAACAGCAGCAGCAACAGCAGCAGCAGCAACAGCAGCAACAGCAGCAGCAGCAGCGATTTGCTGCTAGATCCTTGCAGCTGCAGCTGCAGCTGCAGCACTTTTTAAGGGCAGTAAAAGACTTCGCCTTGACAGACGCCATTGAGGCAGAGTGGAAGCTGCTGCAGGGACAAGTAGCAGCAGCAGAAGCTGCAGCAGCAGCAGCAGCAGAGACAGCAGATGCAGCAGCAGCAGCAGCAGCAGGAAAGAGTAGTCTAACCTTCTTTGCGCTCGTTGAGGCCCACAGCCGCTGCGCCGAGAATATATATACCAGGTCAGTGCACTAGCAACAGGTGCAGCAGCAGCAGCTGCAGCAGCAGCAGAAGCTGCAGCAGCAGCAGCAGCAGCAGCAGCAGAAGCTGCTACTGTTGATTTTATGCATGAAATGCTGCTGCTGCTGTTGCTGCTGCTTCTGCTGGTGTTGATGCTGCAGGTGTCTCCTGTCTCCTCGTCTCGCCCCTCTTCAGAAGAAGCTGCTCGCAATAATGCAGTGCGCATGGCGGCTCAGGGCGTTGCTGCTGCGGCAGCAGCAGCAGCAGCAGCAACAGCGACAGCAGCAAGAGTTGGGAATGCTGCAGGATGGTCTTGAGGGCACTCAGCAGCAGCAGCAGCAGCAAGGTGTTGTGCGGGCGTCTCTCTCGCGTTGCTTCTCTCTTGCTGTTGCCTCCTCTACTCCAACGACGGCAGAATCAGCAGCAGCAGCAGAAGCAGCAGCAGCAGCAGAAGCAGCAGCACGCGAGTTGGAGTGTCTATACTTTGATTACGAGCGCAGCAGCAGGGCCTTTGTGAGGGCCCTCTTAGTGCTGCAGCCTCTAAACATTCTGTCTCCTTTGCTGCTGCGCCTCAACTTTAATGGAGTTGCTGCTAAACTGTACAACAAATAAGGGGGGCCCCTAAGGCCTCTAAAGGGTGCTTACGCATAAGGGCCCCCTAAGGGGCCCCGAGCGATAAAGATAAGGGCCCCCTTAAAGGGCCTTTATATAAAAAGGGCCCTCAAGGGCCCCCAAAGGGCCCTTTTAAGGGCCCCTAAAGGACCCTCTAAAAGGTCTCTAAAAGGCCCTCTAAAGGGCCCCCAAAGGACTCCAAAAGGGTCCCCTGAAGGGCCCCTAAAGGGCCCCCTTGAGGGCCCTCTAAAGGGCCCTTTAAAGGGCCCTAGGGCCCTCCAAAGGGCTCACTAAAGGGCCCCTAAAGGTCCCTATAAAGGGCCCCCTCTAGAGGCCCCTAAAGGGTGTTAATAAATGGGGCCCCTTTAAAGGGTATTACTATTGGGGGCCCCCTTCTTTAAAGGCCCTCAACGCTTAGGGGCCCCCTTAGACTGCTTGTAAGTGCGCTTTACTATAGAGGGCCCAAGTAAGGGCCTCACTCAATCTATAAAAGATTTTTATATAGTAAATTATTAATTAATAATTTGTTTTGTATAATAAAACTCTTCAATTGTTTTACTCGCGAGGATAGAGGGAAAGGCAAAATAATTAAATATTGCTTCTCTAAACCAGTATATATATATATATATATATATATATGTATATATATATATTATATACATATATATATATATATATTATATATATATGTCCCCGATCATCATTTATAACACCCTTATTTTTTTATTAAGACCCTTCAGGGGCCCCTTTAGTGGGCCCTGTAGGGAGCCTTCTATATCAAGGCGTAAAGAACCTTCATATAGGGGCCCCAATGAAGGCATAGGGGCCCCCAAAGGGATCTTCATAAGGGCCCTCTAAAAGCAATGAGAGGCCCCTCAAAGGTACCCTAAGAGGGTCTCCTCCCTCTCTCCCTTAGAGGCTACGGGCCCTTAGAGGGAGCCCCCTTGGGGCCACAAGGGCCCCTATGCTTAGGCCCCCTAGGGGCCCTTAGGGGCCCGTAGGGGGCCTAAGCATAGGGGCCCCTTAGCGGGGTGAGAGGGGCCTCGAGTTTAGAAGGGTTTGGCCTGGCCATTTGGCTTTAAGCTCAGTTATGTTGTCTCCTTTTTGTTTCTGTCTCTGTCTCCTCTTGTCTCTTCCTGTCTCCTCCAGCTTCCTTCTTTGTCTCCTTCTTTGTCTCCCTCTCTGTCCCCTTTTCTGTCTCCTGCAAGTGCAGGTCCTCTTCTCTGTCTGTCTGTCTGTCTGTCTGTCTGTCTCTTTTATGTGTATATCTCTGTTTATTTCTTTATTTATGTCTCTACTGTTTTGAACGTCCTTCTTTGTGTCTCTTCATTGCTTGCTGTCTCCTTTTGTCTTTTTGTCTCCTTTTCTGTCTCCTCTTGTTTCTTCTTCTTTTCTTCTGTCTCCCAAACCTCATAAGGGCTTAAGTCCCCCAAAGGCGCTGCAACACCTCCCAACTCATTGCTAGCTAGCTAGCTAGCTATGAGTTGGGACTCACTTCAGCTAGCTAGCTAGCTAGCTGAATGGAGGGCTGTGGAGTGTCTCCTGCCCCAGGAGATAGCGCAGGAGGTTCTGCTGCTGCAGCTGCTGACGGTGCTGCTGCAGCAGCAGCAGCACCAGCAGCAGCAACAAGAGCAGCAGCAGCAGCAGCAGGAGCAGGTAGAGGATTTGCTGCAGGCGTCTTTGCTTTAGAGGCCAGCGAAGGGCGGGAGCTTCGTTCTTTTTGTTTGATTTTTGTGTTTAGTTTGCATGCATATCGAATCAAAGATGTCTCTTGTCTGCAGCAGCAAAGCACTAGCAGCAATTTGCTGCTGCAGTCCTTCTTCAATAGGCCTCCCTCTTGAGTAGTTAAGAGCTTGCTTAGCAGCAGCAATAGCAAGAGGGCTCTTCTGTGCGAGTGTAAGGCCTAAGGAGACAGCAGCATTAATAAGTGTCTCCTTATCAGGATATACAGCAGAGACAAACCCTTCCTTCTCTGCTTCTGCAGCAAAGAAAAACCGCGTCGAGAGACAAACCTCTCGAGCCCAGCTGCTGCTGCGCACCAGCAGCGGCAATCTTTGAAGTACCCCTGTGTCTGGAGGCAGCCCTAAATCAATCTCTTTGACGCAAAATGCTGCATCAGCAGCAGCAAGACGTATGTCGCATGCACATAACAGCCCCACACCTGCACCTATACAAGGACCGCACACAGCAGCAATTACTGGCTTACGTATTTCTTCTGCTGCTGCTGTAGCACGCTGCAGCAAACTCACAACTTGCTGCAGACGCAAACCACGACGCCCTACTTCTTCAGGCAAAGGAAATATATGCACAAGAGGATCCTCTTCTCCTCTTGCTGCTGCTGCTGCTGCTGCTGCTGCTGGTTGTTGTTGTTTTTTTTGTGGGTGGGCTTTGCGTTGTTGCTGCTCGTGGGCCCCAGTCGAAGCACCTGCTGCTGCTGCTGTTGCTGCTGCTGAAGAAGAAGAAGAGAAATGAGAATGAGAATGAGAATATGAAGAAGAAGGAGGAGGAGAAGAAGAAGACAACTGCAAGAAGGAGAGATCAATACCGCTGCAGAAGGCAGGGCCCTCACCCGTGAGGATTACGCAGCGGCAAGGTGACCAGTGGTCCAGTGTGCGCATGCAAAGAGGGAACTCCCTCCAGAAGGCAGCCCCAAGGGCGTTGAGTTTCTGAGGACGATTTATACAAACTTCTACTACTAAACACTCCCCTATAGAAGCCGCTATAGAGACACGCAGACTCTCTAAGCCTAACAAGCTTGAGGGAAGACCCACACACTCCGACATCTTCAATATTGACGCAACGGAGAGGGTAATGGGTTCAGTTTAGGGTTTAGGGTTTAGGGTTTAGGGTTTAGGGTTTGGAGGTCGCACAGTAAACCACCCGCCTGTCCAGTGGTCTCAGCCGCTGCAGAGCCCTGAGGTATATATTTGAGGAAGGGAGGGAGATATCCAATAAAAAGCAAAAATAAACAATAATTAATGCAAGAGAACGAAATAAATTAAAACAAGCAACTCAAAATGCATGCACTGATATAACGCTGCATCGCCTCTAAACCAACTGCTGCTGCTTTACGGGCTCATTAGGGTGTTTATTTATTGAAATCCTTGTGTATTTATAAATAAAAAACTAAATTAATTTATTTTCAATAATTATTACTGCATTTAATGCATGCGAAGGACCCCACAAACCCAAGAAATGCTGCCTTCCCTACTGGGACCTGCCTATACACCCGGAGCAGAGTTCAGAGCTGCCTATACACCTCAAAATCTCAACGTAGAAATATTCTGCAACCAGTTCCCCCTTCTCCCTTATGTGGCATCAATTAAATGCTTTAAATGGTCTCGTTCCCCTCTGCTACACCCTACGGGCCACTGAGGCTTCACAGCTAAACCCTAAACACTAAACACTAAACACTAAACACTAAACCCTATATCCTCAGTTATGCTGCAGAGTAGGCGGGGGCGGGTGGGGCTGAGGTCTCACTATCCGTCGGCCATGCCGCAGTCCTCCCGGCCCTAGGCCTCGGGCCCCACACTCAAGGGGGGTGACCACGGTACTACGGGCACTGCTGGCTAGCTAGCTAGCTAGCTAGGCAATTACAAGCAAAGGTGCAGCGATTTTGCAAGGAGACAGTCGGAAAGGCCTCGAGGGCATTGTCTATCTGCACGCAAGCCCCATCCACTGTGGCTGCCTTCAAACCCCTCCTCCTAAACCCGATAAACCCTAAACCCTAAACCATAAGCTCCAGACCCTAAACCCTAAACGCTAGCCCCTAAACCCTAGCCGGTGAAGTGTTTTCTCAATCATCCCACTCCAGCAGCTCTAACGCGCAGCACTTGAAGATGTGCCCTAGCGGTCCCCAGAGGAGGGGCCCACCAAAGCAGGGGCCCCCCTCTTTCGTAATAGACAAAAGAGGGGGCCCCCTGGTTTGGGGCCCCCCATTTATGTGCTTCGCAGCACAAACTGCAAATGCAGCAACAAAACGTGCAGCAAAAAAAACTGTCTCATTAATTCTTTCTCGACTGTATG